CTTCTAGAAATTATGAAATGTTGGGGCACCTAGATGGCTCTGTTGGTTAAGCATCTGACTTTGGCTCAGGTCATGATCTCACCGTTAGCGGGTTCAAGCCCTGCATCCGGCTCTGTGCTGATAGTCAGCTCAGAGCCTGGAGCCTGCTTAAGATTCTGTGTCTCCCTCTTTCTCTGACCCTCCTCAGCTCAAGCTGTCTCTCTCTCAGAAATAAATAAAAAACATTAAAAAAATTATGAAATGTGTTTACAAATTTGCTAGTCCAACAATTGCTTACTTTTTAGTTTATATTAGGAATTAAGGATTCTAAGGGTTAAAACTTTTAATAAATATATGTAATTAAAACTATTAGAAATAATAAGGGTTGAAAAAATAACTGTCTATGGAAAGCAGAAAGGTAAGAAGAGTAGAATGTGTTTTTTGGATAAGGAAAGGCATGAAGGACATGGGGTTTTTTTTGCTTCGAGTTTTGGTTGTTTGGTTTTGTTAAAAGAACAAAGAAAGTAATTTGTCCTAGAGTAAAATGATTATTCCTAATTAAGAAAGGAAAAGATAAGACAAAACCTAAATGGATAGAGAAAATTGTATAAGGTTTGTGGAAAAGGAATCTTGAGAAGGGAATTCTAGGTGTGGTCAAGCTGATTAAGATTGAAATGGATTTATTTATGTTAAAAAAAAAAGAGAGTTTTACTATCAAAAGTATACTGAAGCAAAATAAGAATTTAGTTTTCTCTCTGTTAAAAGCACAAAAGTTTCTTAGATTATTGGTCTGCTCTTAATAAAAAATTATAAACAAAGATTTTTCTTTACCTTTAATGTAATCTGCCTAGAAAACAAAGAGTCTGTGTTTTACCTTTATCAAGTCTCTGATCATTTAGGGAAAAACTCAGAGTCTACTCTATTAAAAGAGCTAAGCTTTTTTGCCTTTGGGTTTTTTTTTTTTATAAGGATGTAACTTTTTGCATTTGCTTTTTAAATCTTTTGTCACTTTGGTTTAATGGATTATTGTTTCACAGTGATCTATGATTGTATTTTATCAAATGATTTAAGTCTTGACATTTTTAACAAACTTCCCCAGATTAAATTCTGAATAAAGTAATAAGAAAAATGTTAATTTCTTTAGTCATTTGAGATGTTAAATTACATGGGAAGTTAGTCAAATAAGAAGCATGTTAAACTTTCTTTAGTTTATACTTATGTATGTTAATATAAGTGTTCCAGAGATGGTTTGAAATTCCTAAAAATCTGATGTGTTCTGGTATGTTATCAGTCATGATTTTTAAATGTATGTCACAAAAAGAACCAAATTGAGTTGTCAATTTCATCATTCTCTTTGTATGTATATGTGAACTCTTACCGAAACTTTTAAACTCTTTTGTCACTTATAGACTGTCATTGTTTTACTCTGATGCTTTTGCAAAAGTATTCCTGCAAAAGTGCTTCATCTTCAAAGAGATAAATGGAAAAAACCCTGACAAGTATTCTAAAATTCAGGTTTCTGGTATCTTTAAGGTCAGAACATCACATAAAGAATTTCTAAAGCTCCAATGGAAAGCTGATTGATTCATAAAGCTGCTAATTGAAGATGAAGCAAAACAGGGATTAATTAGCTGAAGGAACTGATGTGATGGTTCTAATTTTTATGATTTCATTGAAAACATTGCTAGTTCTTTAATGCTTTGTTTTCCAGATTTAAAGAACCCCCTTTTCTCCTTTCTTTCATGCTTTCGGTAACTTACAGCAATTTGGTAAAATGTCTTTGGGACCAAAGTTAAAACATTTATCTTTTTCTCCCTACCTGATCCCTCCAGTATTCAGAAATTCCTATTATTTTTGTTTTCTATGATTATGTGTATTATATATTATATATATTATGTGTGTATATATATGTATATATTTGCCTACATTCCATAGGAATCTTTTCTCCTTGTAACAAGACACAATTGGGCAAGTCATTGGTTTGGCTTCCTAGTCTCAAAAAGCTTTGGACAGTCCAATCTGAGACGAGTTCTAGCAAAACAGATTTTTTAAAAAAAATTTTTATTTATTTCTAGGAAAGAGAGAGAGAGACAGAGTGAGCAGGGGAGGGTCAGAGAGATAGGGAGACACAGACTCTGAAACAGGCTCCAGGCTCTGAGCTGGCAGTCAGCACAGAGCCCGACGCGGGGCTCAAACCCACGAACCTTGAGATCATGACCCAAGCGAAAGTCGGACGCTTAACCGACTAAGCCACCCAGGCGCCCCTAGCAAAGCAGATTTTAAAGAGCTATATGGTCAATCACTATTCTTTCTGTACTTACATAAATAATGAGGCCCAGTTTATTGAAACTGCTTAATTTGTAAACAAACTAGTCTTGCTGTGGTTATCTTTGATAGAAATGGGGATGATTATACAGAATCATAACTCCAACTCAGAAGCAGTATTTATAATTTGCTTGAGCTCTTAACCTTTGCTTTTCTTTTGTTTCCATGGAAATCCTTCTCATTAAACTACCTGATTGCTCACATCAAATAGAAGCTAATTTAGCCAACACCTGCTTCTGACCTACAACCTCCTCAAGTTCAGCCTGTTCTAACTAATCATGAGGGTATGTGTTTGCTAATACATGATGTGGTGGTGCCTATGTAAAAAAATGAGTCATAAAAAAATTGAAACCAAATTGCACATTATTCAAAAAAATGTAGATTGACTTAGGTAAAACACGAATCTGTTTATAACCCATTTGAGTTATTTCGATGGTTAAATCTTGGCTCCTGGGAATTTCTGCTCTGGGAAATTTCTCAGTCCTTGCTTATTGTTTTCCTTACAGTCATCACAATAACCTCTCTAGCATGTTGTATACTCTGGAGGGTTTTAAATGCCTGTCAGCAGCCACTCATATGCCAAATGGTAGCCATCGGGATCAGAAAACTGAATGAAGTCAGCAATAACCACGTAAATGATGAAGATGGTAACTACATGGCCCTCCTGCCTGATGACTCAACTACTGGAAACGTAGAATGTGTGATTCTTTGGCCTGACTACATCAATGGTAGTAACCAAGAATAATGCTATATTGGTTGGTCATACTCTCAGCGTGCTGAGACAAAGACCAAATGTTGGGGGGGGGGGGCATTAAAATAAAAAACAAATGGAGACAGACTTGAAAATTCCCTGAGCAGACAAAGTCAATTTAATCAAACAAATAAAGCTTAATTTAGCTTTAAGTTTGCAAGGCTAACTTGACCTGCGTTCCTTATGGCCCTGGAAATCATAAGCAAAACTTAAAATTGTTTCTAAAGTTGATATGAGGTAACCACTGGCCAACTCCCTATCATTTAAGAAAATTCTAATAGTTATGACCAATCACTGTGAAGTCACTGCTTAGTTACTATACAAGCTTCTTCTTTTTTAATGTTTATTTTTATTTTTTGAGACAGTGAGAGAGTTGGGGAGGGGCAGAGAGAGAGGGAGACAGAAGATCTGAAGGGAGCTCTGCCCTGAGAGCAGTGAGCCCAATGTGGGGCTCGAACTCACAAACCTTGAGATCATGACCTGAGCCACTGAGCCACCAAGGTGCCCCTATACAAGCTTCTTTTTTTTATATATATTTTTATTTATTTCTAGGAGAGAGAGAGAGAGAGACAGCGTGAGCAGGGGAGGGTCAGAGAGAGAGGGAGTTACAGATTTTGAATCAGGCTCCAGGCTCTGAGCTGGCAGTCAGCACAGAGCCCGACGCGGGGCTCGAACCCACGAACCGCGAGATCATGACCCAAGCGAAAGTCGGACGCTTAACCGACTAAGCCACCCAGGCGCCCCTATACAAGCTTCTTTATAGTGATATATCCCTGAGCTTAATTCCAAGTTTTAGTTTGAGTGCTCCTAGTTTGCAAACTGTCTTTAAATGGTGTACGTCCAATAGAGTTTTTACTAATTGTTGTTTCTACGAACCATTGGTTTTAACTTCTGTTATTTCTGAAATTTTGACACAATTTTAAGCACCAATGGTTTCCTGAAGTCTTCCTCATGGTCCATAAAGGCCTACAAGATCTAGCCCCTGATTCTGTCTGCCCTCATTTCCTACCACTCTCCTCTTGTTCTTCAGGTCCAACCACAGCAGATCTTCCAGGTCACTCTTTCCTCAAGGCCATTGCACAACTCCCCACCTTTCCTCCTCCCAGTATCTAACCAAATGCCCCTTCCCTTATCATGAGCCACTCCCTATCCCCTTATCACATTTCAGTTTTCCTCATAACATTTATCACCTCCTGACATTTAATATACTTGCCTGTTATTGCTCTCCTCCCACTAGAGTATAAGCGGCAGAAATAGGGTTGGCAGGTAAGATACAGGATACCCAGTTAAATTTGAATTTCAGATTAAAAAAATGATTGTCTTTTCAGTATGAAAACGTCTCAGACGTCGCATGGGATATACTTATACACTGAAAAAAGAATTCGTTGTTTATCTGAAATTCGTTTTCCTAGTGTCCTGTTTTTATTTTGTTAAATCTGACAACCCTACGCAGGAAGGCAGGTGGTTATTTAGCTCATCGCTGGGTCGTCAGCTCTAGAGCTGCACCTGACAAGTAGTAAGCTCTCAGTAAATATTTATAAAATGAAAGAATGTGTTCAACTGGGTCATTAATCTGTAACACGCGTAAACTTGTCATAAACAGCAACCGAGTCACAGGGGCGGAGCTCTAGATTGTGTTAGCCCCAATCACAAATGGGGGTCAGGTGGTTGATGCACTTTCCAAGCAGGTCGAGCAGCTGGGTATTTTGCGGGCCTTCTTCCCAGCATCTGGCGAAAGAAAACTCCGCCTCGGGCCTAGTGAGCCGCAGGTCCCAGGTAGCCCTACCGGGGGCGGGGCCTCTCAATCAGCCTGCGGGACCCAACCCGGGCCGGAGCCAGGGCCCCTTTAACGCCCCGCCTCTCACCGCCACGCGCGTCCTGGTGTAACGTCACCCGGCTGGCGGCCAATGGAAGCGCTGCTTACTGGCAGGCGGCGCCGGCTACTGCTGCCAAAGGGGAAGTGAGCTGGGGCTGGAGAGATGGCCCGGGTTTGGAGCCCGCGGCCGCCGCCGCCGCCGCCGCCACCACCGCCTGCACGTTTGGAGCAGCTGCGGCTGCAACCGGAGCGGGGGCCGGAGTCGCGGCTGGAGTGGAAGCGGCGCGTGTGAGTTGCCGAGAGTCGCCCTTGCCGGAACACCTCAAACTCTGGGCGGGAGCACTTGAGGTGGGCTGAGCCGCCGTAGCCCCTCCGCACCGCGCCACCCCGCTGGCCCTGACAGCAGGGGCCGAGGTCTCCCAAGTGAGGGACTGGCACTTGGCAGGCTGAGCACTCCAAGCCGGGCTCGAGGCCTTCCTCAGTCTCGGGCTTCCTTCAAACTCAGGGCGGAGGCTGGAGGACAGTGATCACCCCCGACCCGCGCATTTTCTTGGCGCCTAGGCTGTGTCGGGGTTGTAGCGGCTGCGAGCCCCCTCCCGCTGTCACCTCTCCAGCTAGAGAACGACTAGCGCGTTCCCACTGTCTAGCTCTGCACCTCCGCCTCTCCTCTCATTCAAGAACAAGTTTCTTTTCGCTCTCTATTGGAAGTCGTGCCCCGGAAGGCCAGAACACCCATCTTTGAGTCCTTCCCCAGCTCCTGGAGCACAGTTAGAAAGAGCTACTTATCGGGAGTTTGAGGTTGCTCCTCTATCCACCTTCTTATCTAATTGATACTCCATGCCTAGACCCTTACCCATTTTGATCACCAGCTCCCTGGCCATCTCTATGTGACTTCCCCCACCCATCTGAGTTCCACTTTCCTCTGGGCCCCAGTCTCCAGCCCCCAGCGGATCTGGTCAGTCCCACCCCTGGGTGGGAGTGACCCAGGGCTCTGGCCCAGATTCCCACCCTGGAAGGCAGCTCCAAGGCAGGGAGAGAATTGGGCGTCGGGTACGAACCTGGCAGCTCAGGAGTGGGCGCTCCACTCACCCCACACAAGAAGATGAAGAAGCGCAAAGAGCTCAATGCATTGATCGGCTTGGCTGGAGACAGTCGGAGAAAGAAGCCCAAGAAAGGCTCAGGCCATCGACTCCTTCGCACTGAGCCTCCTGACTCAGACTCTGAATCCAGCTCTGAGGAGGAAGAGGAATTCAGTTTAGTTGGAAATCGCTCTCGTTTTGTCAAGTGAGTGATGCAGTGGTGACGGGTGGGGTGGGGAATAGGCATTTCCGTATACTACCAAAGGGGAAAATTGAGAGAAAGAAGAAGGGTGTTCTTAGGAAGCAAAAAGGGAGTAGACCTTGGACAGCAAACAGGAAGAAAAGATGTTAGGGAGAAGATGAGCTCAGGTTCTGAATGAAGGATAAGTTAGACATCTGTCTTTAAGTTTATAAAGAACTCTGAATCCGGGGTGGAAGCATGGACTTGGGGAATGTCCTAAGAGCCCAGAGAGAGCAAATTGGGAGTGGCAGAAAAGCTAAGAGTAGGTGCATAGGAGCAAAGAAGCTTTTGGGACTAGACCTTTTTTAAAAATGTATTCGAGACAGGGACTTTAAGGCTGCAGATTATTTTTCACACTCTTGGTGAGTGTGAATCTTGATGGTGGGAGGATATGGTGAAGAACATATAAAGTGTGAGCCTTGAGAATATGTGGAGAGTAGGAGACAAATAGATGAGGAAGCTTTTTCCCAAACCACTTTGAGACGGTGCAGCCAGTTGGCAGATCCAGTAGTGAACTTTGAGAACATTGGGAATTGGGCCCAGGATGAAAAAAGGCTGAAGGGAACCTTGAAGGGGCCCTGGGACCCACTCAGAGAACACGCCAAAAGAATTCTCCTGAGGATATGGAAGCAAGGACTAGACAGAAGCTTCCAGTGCTAAAAGAGAATTCCTTTGAGGTTTTTGTTTGTTTAGAGCGTCTTTGTCCTTTTTTTTTTGTTAAAGGAAGAGTTTGGTTTCTAATGAGCTTTGTCAAATTAAGCAGTTAAGGGCAGTCTTAGATTTGGGAATGAAAAGATGATGAAGTGGAATAGTTTTACTGGAATAGTTGCCTTGTTGGGTTACTTTAGACCTTGAGTGCTGGTTGAAGTTTGGTGTGAAATATAACCCCTTTCCACGTTTCCTGCCCTCTGAGTCAATAAGCTAGAGTGCACAAGGTGTCCACTTAAACCTGCGGTTCCTATTTCTTTCATTCTGTTTGCAGTAAAACTTGCTCAAAAGTCTGTGAAGTTTCAGTAATATGAAACAGGGTCTCCTGGAGGGAATAGATGTTGGAGAGCAAGGAGAGAAATTGTAGTGGTGTGATGGAATTGCAGAGAAACTCTGGTCTTTACACTTTCCTAACACGAGTTTATCTCCAAAGACCTGAATCCATGATGATGGCTGTGGGCTGCAGTGCCCATAGAACCTCTTTCTGTGTCATGTGAAGTTTGAAACCTTTGTATCCAAAAGATGAACTCTTCGTAAGTTCATATTAGTCACTTTCAACCTGCTGTTGAATTTAAGATTTAAGTGTGTTACCCAATCTTCCCTGGTAAACAACTATATGGCAACACATGTATACTATTTCTAATAGAGCTGTACTCCTAATCACTTTTGTACTCCTGTTTGAATCTATTTTTATGATCAGGGGAGACTATTTACGATGCTGCAAGATCTGTTATCCCCTCTGTGCTTTTGTCATCCTTGCTGCCTGTGTTGTGGCCTGCGTTGGCTTGGTGTGGATGCAAGTTGCCCTGAAGGAAGATCTGGATGCCCTCAAGGAAAAATTTAGAACAAGTAAGTGGTCGCCCTTTTCAGAGTATTATCTTATTTCCATGTCTAGGTCCACAAAGTGGAATTAAGAGTTTGCTCAATTATATATTCCTTCCAGCCTTCTTATACTTTTCCTTAGCTGTCAGCTTGAATGTGGGAACAGCCGTTTGTCTTTTTGAAACCCACAAACAAAAAATAAAGCTCATGCACCATCAGGACAATTAGCATCTGAAATCATGGGCATGCAGTCATCACTTAAGGTACAGAAAGGAAGTACTAAAGTCCAGCAGTCTAGACCCTTGGTGAACCTCTGCCTGTTGCCACTTATACTTCCCCAAGGATAAAGTGGCAGTAGCAACATTGGGCTATTTCCTTCCTCCTCACGGGGCCATTTGAGAAACAATGTGGGAATGTCTGTCAGTTTCCTCCTTGAGAAACACCATATGGAAGCAGGAATGGGCAATAATAATAGCATTTATGGAGTGCCTACTGTGTACCAAGTCACAAATAAATATTTGTCTCATGAGTGAGACAGTTTAAGAGGCTTTTTTTTTTTTTTTAGGTTGAAGAGTTTTATATATTCTAAATTACAAAGCTGTATTTTGCCACATCCAAGGTACTCTGTTTGCATAGTAGCTTCCACCAGATTTAACCTAAGTATCTTCCTTTAGCAACACTGAGATCTTTAGTTCTAGGTTTCAGAGGTTAACTTTCTAAGCTAAGGAAGCAGTTTCTTTTTTTTCCTTATTTTTCTTATTTTTAATGTTTTATTTATTTATTTATTTATTTATTTTTTTTTTTAGGAAAGCCAGCAAGGAAACCGGGTGGTTCCTTATTGCATTCTATTTTTTTTTTTTAATATTTTTATTTATTTCTAGGAGAGAGAGAGAGACAGCGTGAGCAGGGGAGGGTCAGAGAGAGAGTGATTCATATTCTGAAATAGGCTCCAGGCTCTGAGCTGGCTGTCAGCACAGAGCCCGACGTGGGGCTCGAACCCTTGAACTGCGAGATCATGACCTAAGCGAAAGTCGGACGCTTAACCGACTAAGCCACCCAGGCGCCCCGAATGTTTTATTTATTTTCAAGAGAGAGAGAGAGACAGCATGAGCAGGGGAGGGTCAGAGAGAGAGAGGGAGACAGAATCTGAAGACAGGCTCCAGCCTCTGAGCTAGCCGTCAGCACAGAGCCTGATGTGGGGCTCGAACCCACGAACTGTGAGATCATGACCTGAGTTGAAGTCAGACGCTTAAACCGACTGACCCATTCAGGCACCCCAGTAAGGAACCAGTTTCAAGTTAATCACAAATGCCTTAACCCTAGCAGTATTAGCACATGGGGAAACTGAAGGCTTTCTCAAGGTTTTAACAAAATCCGGCTCCTGAACTGGAATTAGGGCTATGTCCCTTCTTCCCATCTCAGTCCTTTGGAGGTCATAGCCTTCAGGTTTTCCTTCACCCCACCCTCTCTTTGCTGCCTGTAGTTACTCAAGTTCCAAGCCTGACCTAGGGACAGCTAATCCTTAGTTACTGTGTTAGTAAAGTTCTTAGTGATGTTGCTTGAAAAAAATGTTGACGTACTCATTTTGGTTTTCTTCTGATTCAGGGAATGGGCCTGGGTAAACCACAATTCTCTGCTAGAATCATCTTGACCTATATGTTTAATCAACTGGTGGAATCAGAGTATAGTATAAGAAAAAAGGAGATTTTGTATTCTAGTTAATTTCCCTCCTTAATGGCTGTCCATACCAGTATTGCAAATTGTTTTTAAGGCCAGTGTTTTCTTTGTAAGCAGTAATCATAACTTGGAAATGAGGTTCTCAGAAACAATGTTTAACTATAAATAACCACTAAAGACACCTGCCTGTGCCCTCCTCTCTTTGTAATTAATTGGGCCACCTAGGTTTGTGCGTGTTTTGATCATGTATAGCAATTATTTATATATTTCAAAACATTGCTCACTTCTACCCTCCAGGGATTCCTTTCTCTGACTGCTCTGTGCTTGTTTTTATAGGACACCCATGCAATTTATACCTTAGCTGAGCTTTTCAGGGGATTTCTTTTTTTAGAAATGTATATTTGAAGTGTACAGATAATTGACCTGGCAATCAATCAGTCAACAAATGTTTGTTGAACGCTTGTTAATATCAATCCCTGGAAATACCATATTCAGGAGATGCCAGGAATTGTACCCTGGACTCTGAGCCCTGCTTTCTACTATTCAGCAACCATCCCCTGGGACCCTGACTACATTTGTCAGCCAGTTGAATGAAGCAGATTTGGAATTGTCAGCCCAACTGCTTTGTTGTCTTTGGTTTGCTGCAATAGAAATGTCAGCCCTCTAATGTCTAAAGCAGGACTTCTAGGGGGTGGAGCCAGGGGCATAGTCAGTCCGTAGGCTGAACCTTGTGGACCACTGGCATCAGAGCTTTTTTCTGAAAACCATTATCTTGAGTAAATGAGGTCAGTCGTGTTAAGCTTAAATGGTCTTTCTTTGAATTACATTTCTACTTTATTTATTTTTTTTTGTATTTTTATTTATTTCTAGGAGAGAGAGAGAGAGACAGCGTGAGCAGGGGAGGGTCAGAGAGAGAGGGAGTCACAGACTGAAACAGGCTCCAGGCTCCGAGCTGGCAGTCACCACAGAGCCCGACGTGGGGCTCGAACCCACGAACCGTGAGCGAAAGTTGGACGCTTAACCGACTAAGCCACCCAGGCGCCCCATATTTCTACTTTAAATATATTTCAAGAAGTTACTTCTTGTCTTTTTTTTTTTTTAATTAAAAAAAATTTTTTTTTTTTTGTTTATTTAGTTTTGAGACAAAGAGAGACAGAGCACGAGCAGGGGAGGGGCAGAGAGAGAGGGAGACATAGAATCTGAAACAGGCTCCAGGCTCTGAGCTGTCTGCACAGAACCCGATGCAGGGCTTGAACCCACGAACCGCGAGATCATGACCTGAGCCAAAGTTGGATGCTTAACCAACTGGGCCACCCAGGCGCCCCTACTTCTTGTTTTTCAAGAGGACCCCGGAAACCACTGATTTAATTAAGACCACCTGCTGGTCTGGTTTTACTACCTTTTTGAGAAATTCAGAGCCCTTGTTCTTTATTTCAATGTTTTCAAAGACATTTGTCAGGAAAGGAGGCAGGATTGCTGAAATGTCTGAAATAGAAAGCAAAGCTGATAGACTTGGTATTTTTCCTTGTGGTCCAGGAGTAACTTGATCCTGAAGCTGAAGGTATTGACTGGCCTTGAAACTCAGCTCAGTATTCTTTCCAGAACCAGGCACTTCAGAAGACCTCCACAATTATTCTAAGGAAGGTTCTGTTCTCAACCATCCCTCCCTGTCATTCAACAATGAAACACCAGAGTGAAGGAAAACAATTTGGAAAAGAAGGAAAATATTAATAAATCAGGCCATTTCCTCTTCAGTCACACAGGCAGAGTAGCAGTTTGTGGTCATTTAGTACAGAACTTAAAAGTGTTCTTGTGGTGATGAGGGCGTTAGGATTTAAGTGTCTTGACAGCTGGAGTATTGTAGAGAGAGCTCTGGTCCTAAGAACAGAAGATTTGACTGATGAATCCTAGGTTGCTCATTACTAGCTGTAAAACTTAGAGAAGTCACTTATTCTTTCTGAGCCATCATTTTCTCATCCATAAAAACTCAAAGACCTATTTATGCCACCAAAGCACTTTGGGCGTCTGTCATAAGATCTGTCACACTGCATAGTAATTCTGTGATGACACCTTGCCACCCCCTGGACTGAGAGCTTCAGGGTCTTCTGTATGTACTAGTGCTGCGTGCAGGGCTGGGTACACATTAGGGACTCAATAACAAGTTCGAATGATTACAAAAAGTTTATTGCAAACTAAAGTGTTTACATACAATACTGACAGCACCATTTTGTATTTATTCTGTGCAAAGAGTATATGTAGAAATCTCCTGTTTCATGATCTTAGAGATGAGAAAAAGAGCTATGTAAGTTCTTGTGAGTATTAATATATCAAATTTTAAATGAGTTTCTTTCCATGTTGAAGGAACATCAGTTAATCATCATAAGTTGTTTGCTATACTTCCTCGCATTTATGTAGTCAAAATACCTTGACTTAGCTGGTCTCTCCCAAAAAGCTCCAAATCAGGTAATGAAAATGATCATCTGTTAGCTCATGTAATCCTAAATTTCCAGAGTGTTTTTAGGGCTTGTCAGCTTTATTTGTTTGTTAGTCAATAATTGTAACCCAAGTTATTTATATATTTGTCTCCTCCCTGCCACCTCCCCCACGTGGGACATTTGACCACCTGAGAATGACAGCAGGCATGTGTGGGATAAGTTTTACTTCACAGCCTTACTGAAAATGTAAAATTCAGTGAAATGCTAAGTGCTGTATTAATTTAGCCTGGTAAAATGTTCTTACCGTTGGATGGATGTTTTCCTGCAAACTGTCTGTGAATCAGATATTATATTAAAAGCACTGAGGGGAAAAAAACAAAAGCACTGAGGGAAATCTTTCATTTATGAAGAAACCATTTTGCACATATTTTTGAAAAATTAATAAAAATATCTGATATTTTAAATAATTCTGAATTTTGAGGTAGGGGTTTTGTTTGCAGTAGGGATACCACCACCTCCCCATCCCCAGTTTTTGTGGGGATTTTTTTGTTGTTGAGTTTGTTGGATTGAATTTTTTTTGTTTTATTTAAGATAACATTAGTTCCATTTCATACCCTACAGTTATTTCCCTGGTCAAGCATTTGGGTGCTTCTGTGTACCTGGCACTTTGCTGGGCGCTGGAAATACATGACAAATAAGACCTGGTCCCTGTCCTTAAGCAGCTCTCGGTCTGGTAGAGGAGACAGTTGAGTAAATAGTTACAGCTCAGTGTATTGAGTTCGCAGAGTTTGGAACTGTGAAGTGGTGGTGGTCCAAGCCAGGACCCCAGCTATTTAGGTTGAATATTGAAAGGAATTAAGTAGGCTGAGGTAACAAATGGAGAAGGGGCAAGCCAAGGGCATGTAGGCAGAAAGAATAGTGTTCTCAGGGCCACTGAGGCTTAAGGTTTATGTCTGGAAAATCTACTTGGCGGGAAAGTAGTTTGAAGAGTTATATAAAGTGATGAAAAATGTGGTTGGGAGGTAGCAAAGACCAGATTTATTCGATCAGGGATACTTACTGAGTGCCTAAGATGTGCCAGGTATATTCCAAAGCTGACCTCACAGAGAGGAACAAAAAAGTCATGGTGCTTAAATTTTGGTAACAATTTAATTATTTAATTTAATTGTTATATATCTGTCCTGTATGCCAGGTTTTTTGTTGGTTTTTTGTTTTGTGTTTTTTTGCTTTTTTTTTTTTTTTTTAAAGGAAGTATAATAACTAATCAGGCAGTCTATGGCTTTAAAAAGAAATGTGGATTTTATTCTAGACGATCAGCCATTATTAACATTTTATTTTTCATGAAAAGGAAAAATACTATTTAAAGACAGAAGAGGAAGGACTCTTTCAGGCCTCTGCCTTCAGGCTGGTAAATCTCTAAACCATTCAGAAGATATGGTTTCCCAAAGGAAAAGCCAAATATCACTGTATGCTTCACCTAACATGGTCCTTTATCTTCTATTTCACTTTGAGCTTTTGGGTTGATTTAAGATTTAAGGAAACACTGCTGTTTATGAAAAAGATTTAGAATCATAATTCTCATAGCAGCACTTGAAAGATGGTTAAGAACCCATCTTCCATTTGACCAGTTTGAGATACAGAAAAAAGTAGATCTAAGCTTTTAGAGATACAACTTTTGATGTCACCTTGAGCATTAATGGAGTAAGGTTTATAAATCTTCACTGACTAATCACAAAGCTCCTTAATTGCTCTGGTTAATACTTAACATTTATTTATCACTTATTGTATGCCTGGCCAGCCCTGTTTAGTACTTACTTTACAGCTATTCTTTCACTTAATTCTAAAAATCCTGGGGGCACCTGGGTGGCTTAGTTGGTCAGGTCATCAGGTCATTATCTTGTAGTTTGTGAGTTCAAGTCCCGCATCGGCCTCCCATGCTGACAGCTCAGAGCCTGGAGCCTGCTTCAGATTCTGTGTCTTCCTTTCTCTGCCCCTCCCCTGGTTGTACGCTCTCTCTCTCTCTCTCTCTCTCAAAGAATAAATAAACATTAAAAACTAAAAATAAATAAAAATAAAAGTCCTAAAAAGTGTATTTTATCCCTGTATTACAGATGAGGAAAGTGAACTCAAACAATTTGAGGAATTTACTCAAGATCACAGTAAATTAAACAGTTGAGATACAAGTCCAACTCTTCCTGCTGATATTCTTTGTTATCATTTTTAGCCATCTGACTTTTAAAAGTTGTACTGCCCATAGTGAAGTAGCCCCAGTTAAAATGGAGCTTTAGTATTAAAGATACATGTTTGTATAAATAAAAGAACAGTATAGCTGATAGATACAAATTCAGTCATCCTACCAGGATTAACTTTTACTAATCTGCCTTCTTTCCTACCGTATGATCATTTTTTCAGCTTGGAGTCATGAACAAACTCTGACTATTTATAATTATTCTTATTTTTGCTTTTAGTGGAATCTAATCAGAAAAGCTCATTCCAAGAAATTCCCAAACTTAATGAAGAACTACTCAGCAAACAAAAACAACTCGAGAAGATTGAATCTGGGGAGCTGGGATTGAACAAAGTCTGGATAAATATCACAGAGATAAATAAGCAGGTAGCAAATGTGTGATTTTATTTCTGGGTAAGCTGTGAATATTTGTTTAGTATGAATTTGTAGGTATAGAGCACTCACTTCCAGTTGTTTTACTTTTTGAAATGATATTTTGCGTACTGTGGTCCAAACACATTACAGTCAGGTAGAATGGGTAGTAGTTCTGCATTTACCAAATATTTAAGATGTTAGCTCTTTCTGCAAAGGAACAGTTTTACCAAGTAGAGTAGTTTGGAGGGTGTTAGAAATTCTTGAGTCAGCTTTTCCTAAGGAGCATTGTAGATGTCAGATAAAGAATGTCATTCTAACCTCAAAGAAAAATGGGTAGTCGATTTATATTAGGTTATGAGAGCTTATTTTGTTTAATAAGAGTTCATAAATTTCCAGTTGCAGCCTTGCGTTTAGTGCTGTACACTATTGGAGGAGGTAGCAGAGTTGGTTAAATACCTTGGCCAGGCAAGCAAGTCTATAGAAAAACTTTTTCAGTTGCTAAATTGGCCAGTTCTCAGTAGGCATTGATTCCAAAAGAGGGGTTCTGCCACAGGAAAAGGATTAATGCAAAGGATGTTGATCAAGAATCTCCTACATATGAGGTGCTATACTTGCCACTCATAGCCTCCGTCCTCAGTTTTTGCAGTTTAGTTAGAAAAGCTGTGCATTGGCAAGAAAACTCAAGTACCAAGCAAATGGTATACCTGCAAAGTATTTAAAAATAAATATACCATCTTCGTTGGAGCTAAGAAGATATTCTCTTTCTCAGAATGGAGTCGCAGCATTCAGAATCAGCCATTGGCAGGGAGCACTGTACTAGAATAAAGTATTTACACACATTTCCAAAGCTACGCTCATCTTTCAGCAGCAGTGTGAGAGGGGGAGTTCGGCACTTAAGACCAGGGATCAGTGGCCTGTGACAGTGGCTTTCAGACTTTGGCCTCGAACCCATAAAAATAAATGTTTTATGTTGTTACCCAGTAAACACCTATCTACATAACATATATGGGTAACCTAAATAAAACTTTCTGAAAATAGTAACTTACCCTTAATATGCCTTATGATATATTAGTTTCTATTCAGTTCTATTTCACTCTTTTTAAATCACTCATGAAATAATTGGTGGGTTGTAGCACCTAGTATTTACTCATTATCATTTATCTTTGGACTCTCAGTAATAAAGGAAAAGCAAGTATTCACTCCGTTTTTGTAAAAAGAATAGGATAAATTGTAGCCTTGCTTATATTGACAGAGCAAATTAGCAGTTTGGCCAGAGATTATATCAGGTGAAAATAGACCACAGCAAAGCACTGAGAAATAGTTAATTAATTAGCATCTTTCACTGGAGCAAGCCATGGATTCCATTGATGTAGTCAGTCATGGAGAGGCAGGAATGAAATCTTTCAAGATGAAGAGTCTGTGTTACCCTTTCCCATCTCCTTCACGTAAACCAGCATTGTGGAAAGAGTCAAAGGGGATATTGGTACTTGGTGTGAGAGGTCACACACATTTTCAAATGTTTGCTACATACTTTGGCTTCTGAGCTCTCTTTAATCAGGAATCTAGCAACAAAAGAATCATTTTGTTCTTGGCCTGGCTGTTATTTCTAATGCAAAAAATACCTGGGAAGGCAGGTATACAGAAAAGTTTACTTCGGTCCCAGGGTCCCCTGTATAAAACCGGGAGAGATTGAACTGAAGCCCTTTCCATTTTAGTCCCCATAGATCTTCAGACATGAGGGGACTAACTAATAAGACAGGCCTGATGCAGAGGAATTCTCTTCTGGCAAGGGCACAGGAGGATGTGTGGTAGTGAAGTGAGCTTTGTCTTGGTCCAAGGGGAGGCCATCACTCTCTGAGTGATTTTCTGAAATTCATGTTACACATATCTGATGGTGTGTTCAAGTAAAAGGTATTTGTCCTAAATCAAAATAGGTATAAAAATAAAATTAGTATTGGGGTACCTGGATGGCTCAGTGGGTTAAGCGGCCAACTTCAGTCAGGTTACGATCTCACGGTTTGTGAGTTCAAGCCCTGCATCAGGCTCTGTGCTGACAGCTAGCTCAGACTGGAGCCTGCTTCAGATTCTGTCTCCCTCTCTGCCCTCCCCCTGCTCATGCTCGCTCTTGCTCTCTCTCTTTTTTCTCTCTCAAAAATAAATAAACATTAAAAAAATTAAAAAATAAAATGAAATAAAATTAGTATTTAACCATATTTCAATCTCTAAGGGTAACTGTCAGTTAAGATGCTTTTATTGGCAAATTACTTTTTAAAGAACAACTCAGAGTAGCTTAAACAATAAGAAAATGGATTATACTACTTAACAAGAACCGTCCTTATCACAGTATGAGTTGAAAAAAGAAAGCCATTAATTTGAAATAAGTTAAAATCAGATTTTGCATTGGAAACCTTTAAGCTACTAGTTAAAATCTCATTTACTTTTCTGTTTTATTCATGAGAAACCTCTGATTTCATACGCATAGCCATTCTCAACCATTATAGGGAGTCTCCTCCCCCTTCTTTGCAGGCTGTTAATTCAACAAATGTTTAATGAGCTGCTCTTTTAGAATTAGGCCTTGGATTCAAAACCAAAAATGATGTGACTTCTGCCTCAAGGCTCTTACAGTCAAATGGAGGAGATGAGAGTAAACAGCTGTAAAACAGCCTCTTGAGCAATAAGAAACAGGTCCCCATGAGTGCTGTGGGGGTATTTTTAAATATGTATTAACCAAAATGGCTGGGGCCGGACAAGGCTTCTCAGGTATCTTGAGCTGAGTCCTGAAGGGCACGTAGGAGTTGGCCAGGTGAATTTTGCAGAAAGACGAGTGTCATAGGTAAAGCACTAGTGAAGTTGATCCTCATTTGGAGAGTCCATATTTGTGAATTCACCTACTTGCTACAATTTGTAACCCCCAAATCTTTACTTGTGGTGCTCTCACAGTCATCCACTGACGGGTGGATGTTACCCAACACTAACATTTCCAGTTGATGTCAAACAAGGTAACACTCCGCCTTGTTTCAGCTCACATACTGTAAACAGATTTCCTTTTCAAACTATAGTTAGTGCCATGTTTTCACACTTTTGTGGTTTTTTTGATGATTTCACTGTCCAAAATGTCCCCCTAGCATAGTGCCGAAGTACTCTGCAGTATTCCTAAATGCAGGATGGCTATGATGTGCCTTACAGAGGAAATACGTGTGTTAGATAAGTTTCAGGCATGAGTTCAGCAATATACATTTAATAAGGTGTCATTAAACAGAAACACACATAAAACAAGGATTATGTATTATATTGATCAGTTGCCAAAAACATGACCAGAGAGCTCTCAGGAACCTAACCTTCTACGTCCGTTAGGAGCAGTGAATTAGTTCAGTATTCACTAACTCAACATTTGCTGCAACTTTCTAGAACATAACTATTATGAATAATGAGAATATATTCTTTGTCCAAAAGAATAGATAAATGAAAACCATAGTGTGTTTAGAGAATTTTAGTAGTTCATTATAGCTATAGTTTGGCAGAAAGAGGCCAGAAATAAGGATATGTCAGCAAGAGCCAGAGGACCTTGAGTACCTTTTTATAGTATGTTCTATATCCCTTTTGGCACTCAGTCCTGCTACCTTATGTTATAGTTATTTGTGTATGCATCTAATTACACAAGAAGGTTATACACTGTACTGTGAACTTTAAGCATGATGATGGCGATGATGATGGCAGTTAAGATGACAACTGCCATTGATGAAATGTTTTCTTTGTGGGGTCCACTCTTATATGCACTACATACTTTTTTGCTTCTATAGCCCTTTGAAGTAGGAGGTGGTTATCTCCATTTTACATATATGAAAACTGAAACTCAAAGAGGTTAAGTAGTTTGCTCAAGGTTACACAGCTGTGTAGCATTGCCAGCATTAAAGTATTCAAGGCATGGGAGCCTGTTTTCTTTCCAGTTTTCCATTCTGCCTTACATCTTTATATCCTCTATAGGATCATTATATCCTCTACAGGATATAAAGTGCTCAGGAGATGAGTTGAAAGGTTGTGATGTCAGGTTCCTCCTAAGAGTCATTATTCAACGTTGATGATTATCTGTTTTAGTAACTTTTTTACTTACTATTTAAAGAATCCTTAATTTTAGCCCCAAAGCAAAAAAAGCAGCATTTCAGATTTTATAGTAGGAGATGGTCTGATAATCAAATGGTCTACAGTAGTTATTTTTAATTCTGCTAATGAAAAGTCATGTAATATGCATAAAAGTCATGAATCATCTTTTGGCTGGAATGTGGGATTTTTTTCTCAATTCAACTTTTTAGACTCTTCGAACTACAGCATGTGACTTTTAGAGATAAATTCTGTCATACTTGAATCCTATTTGACATTCTAGAATGTCTGTCAGAGACTAGAGGAGTCCTAGAGATAGTAAAAGGAGAGTGCCCCTTGTCTGTCCACTCTAGTTCCACACGTAGCTTTGCTGAAATTTTCCAAAGATATTAATACTACTCCACTCTTAAGAGAGGGGTGCTGACAAATGGAGGCCAGCTTTGCAGTTATGGGAATGTAGTTGAGTCCTAGTGACCAGAGTGGGGCTCAGGCTTTATAAATAAGTCCTGAGTGATGTTTGGTAATTAGAGAGTTAATGGTCAGCGCATACTCTTTCAGAGAGGCAACTGATACCGTAGGCCTGGCTTTCACCTGCTCCTCTGGTTTTGGGTTAAGTGGTGGCTGTCCCCAACCACACTGGTCATTTGTGGGGGATTTTTGTTTTTTGGGTTTTTTGTTCCAGGTGTCCCCCACCCCTGCCTCCATCCTACACTGGCCATTTGGGAGGCAATTGCCATTCTTGAGATACTTCTGAGTAGCATCAGGCTCTACCATAGCCTCAGGATATTGCCATACCTGGGAGAATAGTGTCTACCTAGATCACTCCACCTAGAACACAGCTTGTATCTTTTAGGATCTGGCCTATTGTCAGTGGAAGGAATTTGTTCCCTCAGGTGGCCAAAAGGTAACTGCACAATTGATGGGGCATTTGGAATAGCCATGGTCTCGCCCATCAAGTTGGTATTGAGTTGGTTGTGTACATACTTTGGAGTACTGAGTAAAACATACTTGCCTGGAGGGAGGCCTCCTTTCTAGCACTTTAGGATTGAGCCGAGCATGTTCAGATAGCCATGGAAGGTCCAGTTAAGGGCTTGGAAGAAAGGGCCAGCCAAGGAAATCTATTAAACCCTTCCAGAGTTGCAGTGTCTTTCTACTCTGTGTATATTTCTTTTCCATCTTTTTGTCTTTATGAGTAGTATGTATATACATAAGTATGTATTCTTACGTAAGGCTTAATAAAATACATAAGGAATTCCCTTTCAACCCCCATCTCTGTATATTCCCTCTTCACACACACATTTGTGGTCCCCAATGGTGTTCACTGCTATTAGTCTGGGCTGCATTCTTCTAGTCCCTTTCTAACAAAATCATAATAGCTTTTAATATGAATTAGCTTATGGATTAGGGTGTGTGTGTGTGTGTGTGTGTGTGTGTGACCAAATGGATGGAGTCATTCAGTATATATACTACAACTTGTTTTGTTCTCTGAATATATCTCTTTATCCTTAGCAATAGACATTTAGATGGTTTCTAGCGTCTTGTTATTACAAATAAGGAAGCAGTAAATACTCTTGTGCATACATCTTTGTGTACATAAGCAAGTTATGTGTAGATAGATTTCTAAAAATGAAATTGCTAAATTAAAGGATATATACACCCTAAATTTTGACAGATACTCCTAGATAACCTTCTTACAGGTCTTCTCCAATTTATATTCTCATTAAGAATGCCTATTTCCTTATGTCCTTTTCAAATCCCGGTATTATTCATGTCTTTTTAAAGGCGTGGATTAGGGTCACCTGGGTGGCTCAGTGGGTTAAGCCTCTGACTTTGGCTCAGGTCATGATCTCACAGTTCTTGAGTTTGAGCCCTGCCTGTTTTGGATTCTGTGTCTGCCTCTCTCCCTTGCTCGTGTTCTGTCTCTCTCTCAAAAATAAATAAACATTAAAGGCGTGGATTAAAACAACCTCTGTAATGTAATTGCTACTCTTAAGAGGTTTTAGTTTACTGAGAATATCTCTCTCTGGACTGAGGTTTCTCACCCACATTGATTTCAAATGCTTAAAGTTGGAATGTTGAAGAGTATTCTGAATATTTTGGAGCATTTATGGAGAATTACATGTTCAAGTGCTTATTAAATTTCACTATTAAAGAGCTAACACTTATTTGGTATTTTGTTTGTACCATGTACTGTGCTAAGAACTTTAGTTATGTATCTTATTTAATCCTTATGGCCTGTATTAGTCATCTTTCACTATGTTACATTCATCTCAAAACTTAATTACTTAAGACAACAAACATTTATTATCTCACAGTTTCTGTGGGTCAGGAATTTGGGAGCAGCGTAGTTGGGTGGTTCTGGCTAGGATCTCTCCAAGGTTGCATTTAAGAGGTAGGCCCAGGCTGCATCATGTGAGGGCTTCCCTGGGACTAGAGGATCTGCACTTATGTGGCTGTTGGCAGCAGGTCTCCGTTCCTCTCAATGTGGGCTTCTCCACGGGGCTGCATGAGTGTTCTCACAGCACGACAGCTGAGCGAGTGATCCAAGGAGGAGGACCTGGTGTTTTTAAAGACCTAGTGTCCAAAGTTGTGGTCGCTTCCACTGTATCGTGTAGGCTGAAAGGGAGTCACTATAGGGACAAGCCACACTCGGGAAAAGGATGATGTCTCACCTCTTGAAGGGAAGACTATCAAAGACTTTGTACACCTATTTTAGAACATTCAGACGTCCCAATGAGATGATTGTTGTTAAATAGTTTTTATTGTTTTAGCCATTTTATTGGTGAGAAAAATGAGTCGACTACTTATTAGGCTTATCTCCTCCTTTCTGGCCTCTACCCTGTACTCTGCTTAGACTAGTCTTCTCGGTGTCCATTCTAGACACAGAGTGTACTTTCTCAGCAAAACATACATTCTCTCAGTAAATACTTACCAATGTTTGTCGGGGTGCCAGGCATATTATGGAAAATGTTAAAATACACATGGTCCTTGATGTTGTGGAGCTTACAGTCTAGTGGAAGAGAGAATCCTTAATCAAGTAATCGCACAAATAAATTATTGTTATTTTGAAAAATGCCATGAATGCCTATTCATGCTGTTGCTCTCTATTTCCTAATGCCACACTCACCTATTTAACCTAGAAAGAATACCTACTTTATTTTTATGTATAAAAATCCTTACTTCTCCATCAGAGTCTAATTTGAGCCCTCCTTTAGTGGAGCCTGTCCCTTTCAGCCTACACAAAGACTAGTTTCTTGTTATTAAGATCTGTTCAGTTTTCATCTCCTTATAGAAGCCTTAGCTTAATCTAATCTACTGTTTGCTACCATCTAATCTAAAGTAGCAATCTGATCACTCATCGAGTCAGTTTTACTTTCTTTTTTAAAAAGTTTTTAAAATGTTTATTTTGAGAGACAGCGAGCAAGCGAGCACACAAGTGGGGGAGGGGCAGAGAGAGGGAGGCACAGAATCCTAAGCAGGCTCCAGGCTCTGAGCTGTCAGCACAGGCTCTGAGCTGTCAGCACAGAGCCCTACATGGGGTGCGAACTCACAGACTGTGAGATCAACCTGAGCTGAAGTTGGATGCTTAACCAACTGAGCCACCCAAGCACCCCAAGTCACTTTAGTTTTCTTCTAATGCATCTCACTGGCCAGTATTTTCCTTTTTTTTTTTAAATTTTTTTTAACATTTATTTATTTTTGAGAGACACAGAAAGAGTACAAGCAGAGGAGTGACAGAGAGAGAGACAGACAGAATCCCAAGCAGGCTCCAGGCTCTGAGCTGTCAACACAGAGCCCAATGCAGGACTCCAACTCCCGTACCGTGATATCATGACCTGAACCAAAGTCGGACACTTAACTGACTGAGCCACCCAGGCACCGCACTAGTGTATTTCTTATATAAAATTGTCTGTCTCCTTGCACTAAGATGTAAATACCACAAGATCACTGATATCTGTATTATTCACCACTGATATGGAATAGGGCTTATTTGTTGTAGTAATGAATGAATAAAAATTGGGCCAAAGTCCCTGAACATACCCTCCTAAAAGGAAAGAGGTAAAGAGAACTCAGTTCCTAAGTTCCTGGGCTCCTTACTGGACTTCTTATTCTGAACACACTGCCACTTGCTCCAGGAACTCTGCTGAAATTCTTTGCTAGTACTTAATCTGATGCTTTTCTTCTTTGTTTTTCTCTTACCTTCTACTAGGCTGTAAGCTCCTCCAGAGCAAGTCCCATGGTCTTGTTTGCCACCATCTCCATAGTGCCTGCAGCAGTGCTTAGCACAGAGATGCCCGGCATTTGTTGAAGGAAAGAATGAAGGATCAGGTTTACTGCGAGCCCTCTGGTGCCTGCCACAGTGTTAGGCACATAACAGGTGGCCAGAAACTTTAGTGGTTACTCAGTGAAGCCATTCTGAGTATAATTGCTATTGGTAGAGCTGTGTCCTCATCCTAGAATTTGGGACAGGAAAACAGTTTGGAAACAGTTTGGAACTAAGAATCTTTCAAGAATGTTTTGAGCCACACTATAAAGGTGTTAGAATATGATTTCTACAGCCTGAAATTACATGTTATACAGATTTCCCCAGTCCTCATTCAGGAGAGAAATCCAGCTATTTAGAACTCTACCCCTAAATAGCAGAAGGGAAGACACATTTTATTTTTATTCAATTCCTATTTTAATACATGTACTGATTCAGTCAGCAAGTCAGTGGATATTTATTGAGCCCCTTCAGGTACAGAGTAGTACTTTGGTTGAGCTATTGAGTTTGAAATATTATCGCATTGTTAAACCAAAACTGAATCCCCAAGTAGTTTAAAGTGTTGTATAAGTTCCTGTAGACTGTATTTTGTGATGATGGGGTTTTACTTTATAATGTATGTTCCCACTTGGTCAGCAACAAAAGTTCAGTAAATAACCAAGGTGTTCTTTTTTTCTTTTTTTTTTTTTTCCAAAATGAAATCTTTCAGGGGTCCTTGATCATTAGCTTCCTCTTTGTCCAGTTGTTGAAGGATTGTGTTGTAATTACTGCATCTTTTTGGTAACTTAAGATTTTGGATCTTGTAGCTGCCAGGAGTAGGATAAGCAATAATACTTGCCTTTCCCTTTTTGGCACTAGTGTTCAAATTGGGCAGGGAACAAAGAGGTATTACTGCTGCCTTCCAGATCTTGGTTCTATCCAGGGTGCTGTAGTTCCTCTCTTCTTGTGAGCTGACGGGTATAATGTCTGGAGAGACTTCATACTGTCAGCAGCCATAGAGTCTGTGAAGGAAGCATTCATTCTCCAAATTCTGTTTTCATTATTTGTTACTCTTTTCCTTTCAGATTTCTCTGTTGACTTCTGCAGTAAACCACCTCAAAGCCAATGTTAAGTCCGCTGCGGACTTAATTAGCCTGCCTGCCACTGTAGAGGGACTTCAGAAGGTAAGTGCTGTGTTTGGGCACTGAGATTAACCTGTTGCTGTAATTTTAGCTTCTTAACGAGTTTTCTTTGAAAGCATGGCATTTGGAATCCACTGCTCCGTGAGGGCAGTAATAGAGCGTATCACTGTGTTCTGAACAGTTCAGAACATCTCTGTTTTAGTTCAGTTAGTTGGGTCTTTAATTTGCAACAGGTGAGTTTAGTTGTGGTTTATATGGATTCACACCATTTTATTTGGTTCCCTGAATCCCAGGATTTCTCTTCTGGGACTCTTAGTTAACAAATGTGGGTTTGCTTCTCATCACTTGCCTTTTCAATTCATCATCCACAATGTCTTCATGAAAGACCACTTGTACAGGAGAATTGCTCTGAATTGCTGGGTTTTTTTCCTGGTTAAGAGGTTTTTTAAAAATAATAATTTGAGCGAAATGCAAAAATTCAAAGTTTAGGAGATGATAGGTGTTGGCAAGGATGTGGCGCAAAGGAAACTTTCAAAGACTCCTGCTGGGAGTATAAATTGGTAAAAAAAACATTTTGAAAAACATTATATATTATTTTATAAAGGTTAAGGTACATCCTCTAAGCAGTTTGCTCCTAGGTACATATCCTAAACTCTAGGGCCTAGGCAAAAAAAAATAATTTGGAATTTGTTTACTTGATCCCTAGGATTTAGGCTCAGAGCAGGAGGCAGTGACCAGGCAGATGAATAACATAAAGCGATCTGTAGAGCCGAATGGGGAGAGTGGTCAGGGGTAGGAAGGAGAAAGAGGTGCCTAATTGAGACACAAGCAACATTAGCCCCTGTAGCAGGAAATTGTAAGAAGGGATTCTGGAGCAAGGGAGCTCTAAAAAATGGGTACCAAATCTAGGATCTTTGACTTTTAAAAGTTAGTGTGTGATAAATTTGATTTGATTATATGCCAGGCTCTGTAAACCTAGAAATTATTTCCACAAAGGAGTGAAACACTATGTCACATGCAGAAACAGAATTTTCTGTTTTATAGCCATATGACCTATGTGCTCTGTCTCCATAATTTGCTGTGTATCCAAGATGATCATCTGCTTTACAACCTAAAGTGGGGGAGGGAGAAGGCAGGAGGACAACTATAATAAGGTAAATTCTTCTTGCTGTCATTCCCAAGGGTCAAATGGAAGAAAGGTAGGCTTCTGTAATCTTCAGCATAGAACCAACTGTGGCACTCTAGCATTAGAAAATGACATTGAGGGGCACCTAGGTGGCTCAGTCGGTTAAGCGTCTGACTTTGGCTCAGGTCATGATCTCACAATTCGTGGGTTCGAGCCCCGCGTCGGCCTCTGTGCTGACAGCTAGCTCAGAGCCTGGAGCCTATTTCGGATTCTATATCTCCCTCTCTCTCTGGCCCTCCCTGGCTCACGCTGTCTCTCTCAGAAATAAATTTTTAAAAAACATTAAAAAAATTTAAAAAAAGAAAACAACATTGAGGGCCACCTGGGTGGCTCAGTCGGTTAAGAGTCCAACTTCGAGCACTGAGTGTTATGTGGAAACTAGTTTGACAATAAACTATTTGTAAAAAAAAAAAAAAAAAAAAAAAGAAAGCAACATTTAACAAAAAAAAAAAAAGAGTCCAACTTCGGCTCAGATCCATGGTCTTGCAGTTCATGAGTTTGAGCCCTACATCAGGCTCTCTGCTGTCAGTGTGGAGCCCACCTCAGATTCTCTCTCCCCCTCTCTCTGCTCCTGCCCTGCTCTCTCTCTCTCCCTCTCTTAAAAATAAACAAACATTAAAAAAAGAAAGAAAGAAAACAACATTAGTTTATTGCATTCATTAATTCAATAAACATTTGGGGATCTTCCTCCAGTTTGTGCCAGGCACTTGGCAGGTGGTAAGAATACTAGTTTCAGGGTTTTGCTCTAGTGTTCACATGGCTCTGTCAGCTGCTTCCTTTAAAAAAAAATCTTAAACAAGAGCTTACTGTCTTGCATCCTAATGGGCTCATACATCCAGCAAGAGAGGATTCTCTAACAGTAGATGTCTTTGAATGCCTGTCGCTTCTGTAACAACAGCTTGCATAGATAACACCCCAACTTAGAGACTTGTACCCAGTGTGTTTTCTCTTTGCAAATCTGTGTGTTTATACTGTCAGATAACTATTTTTAATACAAGTGGCTCGGTTTTGAAGTGGTAGGTCATCTCAGATACCTGACTTCAGTGTATCTTGTGATTTTCTTAAATGTTGAAAATGTCATCTCTTGGGATTTTGGGTTCTTGGCTGTCAGTGTAATAAAAACAGCCTTGGCTAGAAATATGTATTTAGTATAAAACCAACAAAACTGTCAGTATATCTTAATAAAAGGGGAGCATCTGCCAAATAGTAACACTCTTCTGGATGCTTCTCTGAGACAGGCCTTGTTAGAGTGATGGTTTCGGAATCATGTTTCCCAAATCCCCAGTCCACTTGGGCTCCTTAAGCCTAATGAAGACAAAGTAAGCCTCTACTCTCTGTCCATTCCACTCAGCAGTTGCTGATGGGATTCTAAAGCAAAGGGAGGAACAAATGTTGCCACATGGAATTTTTCCTTCATCTCTGCAACACTGAGTCCCCCAAAGGCAATAATGGTTCCACCCATTTTCCTGTAAAAGCCCTCATTTGCTCGTGACACAGTGGCAGTATACAGTGTTAGCTGTGGCCTTCTGCCTGTCTGCTCTACCACAGGGCTTGGTAAGGGCTGTTTGTGGGAGAACCTTATCTGTGGGTCCCAGATTTATGAACTAGATTTTTTTTTTTAAGACTTAGTTTTCCTCTAGGAAAAGTCCTTTAAATTGGGAAAATTATTTGTCTTCTATATATAATTTTATATATACAGGTGATCCTTTTAACAACATAGGTTTGAGCTTTGCAGTCCACTTGTATGTCGATTTTTTTTTCAGTAAATATAGTACAATACTGTAAATGTATTTTACGATTTTCTTTTTTTTATTTTTAGTTATTTATTTTGAGAGAGCAAGCACATGCACATGAGGGAGGGACAGAGAGAGGTGGGGGGAGAGAGAATCCCAAGTAGGCTCCTCTCTATCAGTACAGAGCCCAATGTAGGTCTTGAACCTACAGACTCTAAGATCATGACCTGAGCTGAGACCAAGAAAGAGGCAGTTAACCGACTGAACCACCCAGACGCCCCTCTTCTGATTTTTTTCTTTTTTTCTCTTTTATTTTATTTTATTTTTATAGTAAAATCCAACTTTACTTTTTTTTTATTATATAATTTATTGTCAAGTTGGTTTCCATATAACACCCAGTGCTCATCCCAACAAGTGCCCTCCTCCATGCCCATCAGCCCCCTTCCCCTCTCCCCCACCCGCATCAGCCTTCAGTTTGTTCTCAGCATTCTAGAGTCTCTCATGGTTTGCCTCTCTCCAACTATTTTTCCCCTTTCTCCTCCCCCATGGTCCTCCGTTAAGTTCCTCCAGATTCACCTATACGTCCAAACATATGGTATCTGTCCTTCTCTGCCTGACTTATTTCGCTCAGCATAACACCCTCGGGTTCCATTCATGTTGCTACAAATGGCCAGATTTCATTTTCTCATTGCTATGTAGTATTCCATTGTGTATATGAACCACATCTTGATCCATTCGTCCGTTGATGGACACTTAGGCTCTTTCCATGTTTTGGCTATTGTTGAAAGTGCTGCTATGAACATTGGGGTACATGTGCCTTTATGCATCAGCACTCCTGTATCCCTTGGGTAAATTCCTAGCAATGCTATTGCTAGGTCATAGGGGAGTTCTATTGTGAATTTTTTGAGGAACCTCCACACTGTTTTCCAGAGGGGCCGCACCAGTTTACATTCCCACCAGCAGTATAGGAGGGTGCCCATTTCTCCACATCCTCGCCAGCATCTATAGTCTCCTGATTTATTCATTTTAGCCAACAACAATATCTTTATTGTAAGAACATAGTGTATAATGTATATAATATACAAAATATGTGTTAAGTGCTTATGTTATTGGTAGGCTTCTGGTCAATAGTAAGCTATTTGTAGTTAAGTTTTTGGGGAGTTAGAAGTTATATGTAGATTTTCGATTGCATAAGGGGTCAGCACCTTAACCTCTGCATTGTTGAAGGGCCAACTACATATAAACATAAACGTGTAGTTTCCTGTTAGTTGTGTCTGCATATGCTATGTGAAATTCAATTTGAAGAGACTTGAAATAATTAAAAACACTGGTCAGTGCTTAACCTAAAATTACAGTGATAGACCCCAAAAAATGGTGCAGTACCAAAGGAATGGCAAAAATTGAAAAGACTGAGGGTATGAATTGAAAAGAATATGAGGGAATTGGAATTCTCCTACACTGCCAATAGGAATGTAAAATGATATAACCATTCTAGAACAGATCTTGGCAGCTTTTTAAATAAAGTAAAAAGCTTTTTAAATAAAAAAAAAAAAGCATGTATCTACCATATGATCAGCCACTCACCTCCTAGGTGATGAGAAAAGCATATGAAGGGAAATGAAAACATATGCCCACATAAAGACTTGTACATGAATGCTGATGGCAGCTTTATTTGTACTAGTCAGATAGTGAAAACAACCTAAATGTCCACCAACAGATGAGTAGTTAAATAAATTGTGATGTATCCAGATGATGGAATGCTTCTCAGCAACAAGCTAAGTGGCTACAGCATTGATTAATCTTAAAATAATGAAGCTGAGTGAAAGAAGCCATACCAATAAAACAAAAAATGAAACCAAAAAAACTCCACATGCTCATTCACTGGTCCTATTTATACAAAATTCTAGAAAGTGCAAACTGATATATAGTGGATCAGTGGTTGCCTGGGGGCAGGAGAGGGAAAAATTACAAAGGGGCCTGAGGAAACTTGGGGGTGATGAGTGTTTATTATCTCAATTGTGCCAATGGTTTCCCAGGTGTGTATATATATGTCAAAACTTACCAAGTTACATGTTTTGAATATATGAGGTTTATTGTATATCAGTCATATCTTTAAAAAGCTATTAAAATTTTTGAAAAGGAAAACCCACTGATCTTACAACATGTATCTGTTCAGAGCGTAGCTACCATTGGCAATACTTTAAACAGTGTCCATCTCGCTGTGGAGGCAGTACAGAAAACTGTGGATGAACATAAGAAAACCATGGACTTACTGAGGAGTGATATGGTAAGGAAATCTACAAATGCTGCAAGAAGTCAGCATTCTGCCTACCTTCTGTGTAACAGGAGCAATACCAGTTACCCATTTGTCTAAACAGACCCTACTAAGCACCTTGTTAAAAGATGTAATGTGTAAATTAAGCAGTTAAGGTGGGTAAAATTAAAAACTGAGTCTTCTACAAACATAGTGGAAGAAATAGTAAGATACAATAGTTCATGGGTTGAATGGGTAGGAACGAAAATGGAGAGGAAGGAAAGGAAAGTGTCACAGATATTAAGTGCTACATAACAAATCACCCTAAACTTTGTGGCTTAAAACAACATGTTGTTATTTCTATTTTGTGGGTTAGGAATTCGGGCAGAATGCAGCCATACGTATGACTTCAGCCTGCACCATGTGAAACAGAAGAATACCGCCATCCCACTGAACCCAGTCAACCCACAGAATCATGGGAAATAAATTGTTGTTTTAAGCCACAGAGTTTGGGGATGATATGTTATGAAGCAGCAGATAACTGAGACAGAAGCAAACCCCTGCAGTGCTCAAGAATTATTTCCAGATGTCTCTTAGTGTTATGTGGGTGTAAGCTATCTGCAGTCATTCAGAGGCCTTAATTCATCACCTAGTGGGTATTCTGCTCCATGAAAGATTTATGAAGGGTGAAAAAGATGGCACAGCCCTCACTGTCTTGCTGTCTCACTATATGTACGTGAGATCAGGACTATTCACTCACACAAAGGTTCCCTAGCGTCTCCACTAATTTCTAGGTCTATCCCACATGTTCTTCTCAAGCTTTAGAGTTTTGACTTTAAACCAGGCATTTGTACCCAGAAGACCCGGGCTATATTAGAGCTATAGAAAGGGGTGGGGGGGGGGGGGTTTCATTTCTTCAAAACCATTCCTCACTATTATTTAGTGGGGCTGACCCAGAGGAAAAAGCAGTGCTAGGTGTTCAGAAACTCCAGATTCTAGTTCCAACTCTGCTGCTGAGTAACTGGGGGATTCATAATAATAAAGATCCCTAACTCAGCAGTTCTTTTATTACTATTATTTTAATATCTGGAGCATTTTCTCAAAGTAATTAAATATTTTCCAAAATAACTTTTTTCCCTAACTCAAAACTTCATGCTGTAGAGAACCATGGAATTTTTTCTGCTTGGAGTTTTTTTTCTTCTCTCTTAACTTTTTTCTTTATTGTGCCTTTTGTTTCTTATAAAAGCAGGGTTGATAAAATATCTAGGATTTCAGGGAAAACAATTTATTTCCCCCAGTTGCATTCTATTATAATTAAATCTGCCACTTTTAAACTTTCATAGTTGCCAGTGGTAATCCTCCCACTGGCACATTATATACTGAGTTAAGTCATAGGTACAGATTCTGAAAGGTTAAGCCGTGCAAAGTTTTTCCACTAGAGGGAAAGAGGATATATAAACGCGTTATATACTTCAGTGTCTTCAAAGAGAGACCTGAGCAGTGGGAAGAGGATGGGAAAGGAAGGGTAACCTTCAGACATAAATCTTGGCATGTGCTGTTAAAACAGAAAAGCTAATTATGGTGCATGACTGGTTGTTGTATTCAGTGCCCAAGGCCAGTGATTACATGACTGGCTGCTCTTTGAATATACAAACCTCTTTAGTCCTGGGGAAATGATGACACTAGCCAAGTTCAGACTGAGTTCTCAGGCCCCTGGGAAGTTATAGTGATTCTACAGTTTCTCTGAGAGTACTGAAGGCAAATGGAGGGGAGGGAATGGAGAAGAGGAGGACTGGTTTCTGGGGAGTTCATCCCGTTCAGAGACTGAGAAACAGACTGGGGAGATCTCAGTTCGCTGAGGTGTCTGGGTGCTGCTGGTCCAGTCCACACTTTAGGCTGGCATCCCCAAAAGTATCTGGTGCCCTCAGGACCTAGCACAAGACTGGTCACCCTATAGGCTCCTGGGAACTACGTGTTGATTAATTGTGGATGCCCTCTTTAGGAAGGTAGAAAGTTTTGGGACCATCCCAGATGGTAATTACGTGCCTCTGCGAACTTCCATTCCTGTAAACAGAATCAGCACTTCTTGAAAGAGACCAGTGGAGGCAACCAGAGCAGTCCATCACCTTCAGCTACATCAGAACTGGACAATAAAACCCACAGTGAGAATTTGAAACAGGTACTTTTTGTCTCTGGCTTAACCCCCTGTGCCTGCAATGGACTCTGGGGTCCACTTGAATAGTTGGGCTCCGTGTTGGGGGGCCCCATCCCATGCATATATTTCCCTGCCTGAGAGTTGAGCAGGAGCAATGTGTGTTGCTATTTTTGGGGTCCAAAGTGTTATCCTGACTCTTCGTTGGCACTCTGCTTTTTTTCCCTGCATGTCAATTCAGTGGAGTAAATTCCTTTTCACATCTTGAAAGGCATAGAATAGCCAGATTATCCTGAAACTGTTTATGAAAAATAGAGATCTGAACAAGTTAACATAACAGAAAGCATTTTAGATGCTTTCTAAGACTATAGACAAGAAGAGGAAAAAGACTATTGACTTCAGAAATACATTAAAGAGAATAAAGGAAATCTTCACTAAGAATTCCTGTCCTGAGTTTAATGCCCTCTAAAACCTATAGTCATCATTCCTTTTTAAGTAGCAATCAGTACTAGAGGATGTCAATAAAAATAATTGAATCTTGTACTAAATAATGCACTACTTGTTATGGTTTTGCTACATGAGCCAATTCAGTAATTGGTATTGTTCCTAAGGTAGTTTTGTTCTGACAAATGAGGTTAATGGGTGTTTCAGTTAATAACCTAGCAAGCTTTCCTGCCAGCAGGTGAGGTAAACATTGGGAAATCAATTTCCAAGCTCTCAGCTTTCTGGAACCAGAGAGTGAATCATGTAGGTAGTCCCCCTTTCCTCCTCCTGTCTAGCTGAGGTCAAACAACTCCAGAGGGAGTAAACTCAGAGCAATTGAGAGTGGAGGGACAAAGCCAAGACAGACAATCAATGGTCTAAACCAGGAAAAGGAGTTTACTTTGGTAACATGACGTGGTAATGGTTGTTAGTGCTGCTGGCCTGCTTGTCTAATGGATGTCTTTAGCTGGATTCCGCAATTTGATTTATTTCCACTCCAGGATATCCTGTACCTTCACAACTCTTTAGAGGAGGTAAACAGTGCCCTAGTGGGGTACCACAGACAGAATGATCTTAAACTCAAGGGATTGAATGAGACAGTCAGGAACCTTACCCAGAGAGTCAACTTGATAGAAACAGATCTGGTTGCTATGAGCAAGGTAGAAAAGCAAGCGAACCTGTCCCTCAGCGTGGTAAGCCTCTTCAGTTCTTCTGTGATATGTTCTGTGCTGCAGTGTGTTTTGTCTGCATGTGGATGGCACTCCACAGACTTTTCAGCTGCAGTCTCCAGGCTTATTTGAGAGGCTACACCTGTGGACTATGCTCCATCCTGCCTCCTTTCATCTCCACACTGGCTCTGTGATGTGAATAGCATGAGTATAGTTAATTAACCCTGATCTGGGAAGAGAGATGCAGAGGGGCTCACTTGCTTGCCAAGGCTTCACCACAGGCTGACAGCAGAAATGACTAGCTGCCTATTATGTTACCAGAGACCCATCTGGTAGGGAAGCTCTGGTACATGTTTCCAAGAGAGGTCTTCTTGCTCTTTTTTCAGTTGTTAGGGGTGGGAGCAATGACAGTGACCATAAATGAAGAATCTTTTGCCCTTCCTTTAAGCCTGAACTTGGCTTTTCAGATTTATCCTGCTTTGTCTGCATGTTAGGGGGATCCTTTGGCATCTAATGTGAGAAAGCCATTTTAAAACAGACCAGGTCAGACCAGCTCCTTACCTAGAGAGATCATTGAGTCCATCCTCCCATTTTATGTGAGGAAACAGTGACCTGAGTTATTAGTGCTGGCAGACCATGTGGTTTACTGGTTTTCATGCTATTGTTAATAAAATGTGTGTTTTTTCCTATATTGTGCTGGGATCCATGTGGATTGATTTTTAATATCTGCAGGCCCCACCCTTAAAGATTTCATACAACAAAGACACAGGCATATGTGAAGAAATGGATACCTAAAATGGGGAGTTGTAGCATAAGTTCAAGTAAGTAGCAAAGCTAGAAGCAAGCCCACAAGTAAAGTTGAACTCCGGCACCTGCAAGGCAGGGTTTGAATCAGCTCTGTCTCAGTGGAGCCTTGGCGGCTTGGCATGGCTTCGAGAGTGTAGTCAGAAGACCTGTCCCCGCTCCTGCTTTATGAGTGCATGGGATTTACTATACAGCTGTGAGGATTAAAGGAGCCTTGTGTTATTTTACTTAATTTATTTTTTAATGTTTTTATTTTCTATTTATTTTTGAGAGAGAGAGCAGGGAGAGGCAGAGAGAGAGAGAGAGAGAGAGAGAGAATCCCAAGTAGGCTCTACTTGTCAGTGCAAAGCCTGACGCAGGGCTCAAACTCACAAACCATGAGATCATGACCTGAGCCAAAATCAAGAGTCAGATGTTTAATTGACTTGAGCCACCTAGGTGCCCTAAAGGAGCCTTATTTTAAAAAGCCCCTTTGAACTCAACTAAACTAAGTAGAGGCTAGGAATTTGGGGTGGTTTGATGAGTGTTAGGCCTTGAGGTTTTCAAGGCCAATTGTAAGAACTTGCTGCCCAGACTCCCCATACAGTCCCTCCCCCTCCACTTGATTTTTCTTGGAGAAAAATTGTTAATTGCACTGTGTCCTGTTGTTTGTTTCTTCCAACGGCATCATGCCTAGCTTGGCTCTGGGTATGAGTCCCATCACCTTCTGTACTTCAGATGTGTGAGAGTTTGTGAAGTGGTTTCAGCTTTGTGTCTCAGCAGCCTGTCTCCCTCTCTCCTCTCTCCCTCTCTCCTCTCCATTCTCCTACTGGTATTTCTGTTGAAAGTGTTCTGAGAACCTTTACGTTTGACTACTCCGTTTCAAAAGTGCTAGATGTTTAAGTTTTAATGTTTGCCTTTAATCTTACTGTTTTTACCCTTTAAGATGGATGATAGAGCTGCCACTCTGAAAAGAGAGTCCTTGCATCAAGGAATCAACAGAACATTAAAAGCCCAGAGCATAGAGGTAAATAACAGGGGGCTTATTTTGAAGTAAAAATAATGCATCAGCATCTTTGTGCTTTTGAGGGGCAGTTCAGTCGGTACAGTGTGCAATTCTTGATCTCGGGGTTGTGAGTTCAAGCCCTATGTTGCGGGTAGAGATTACTTAAAAACAAAACAAAACACAACAGCATCTTTGTGCATTTGAATGACTGTTTCTTTCTCAAAAGGAGTACTTTGGTTTCATTTGCTGAGACTTCAAGACAAAGTAATTACTAAATTAATAGTGAATAAGTGAGTACTTTGTCAGGCACCTACCCTGACAAACCCTTTTCGAGGAGCTGGGGTAACCACAGTGAGCAGGATAGACATGTGACCCTTATTCTGGTGGAGCTCAAAGTCCATCAGTCAGAAAATCATTACTACATAATTGAACACATAATTGACTGAGTATGATACATCCTACAAAGGAAAATTACAGGGTATGATGAGGGTGTTAACAGAGGTCAGGAAAGCTTCCCTAAGGAAAGAACTTTTAAGCTAAGACAATAAGTTATCTGTACTAATGACAGAGAACAGAGGCATAGGTCATCTAAAACTGGTGTCTAACCTAAACATTTATTTTTAGATTGCAGTCTCAATACATACATAGTCCATTTAAGCCTCAGCCAGTCCCTTTCACCTTGTACCTTCCTGGTTTTTTTGTTTTTTTGTTTTTTTTTTTAAGTTCTTCCCTGACACACTGTCAAGATAAGACAGTCTGTGATACGCTTTAATGTCCCAGGAAAAAGAGTTTATTTGCAACATTCTCTGTGATTAGAGTACTGTTCAAAACTATATGATCTGGGCTAAGATAAAGTAAAGGCAAGAAGATTGTGGCTGTGTGGCTAAAATACCATCTCAGATGCATATTGTGTTTGAGGAGCTCAAAGATATGAGCTCAGTTCAGAGGAAATGAACTTGGAAATGAACCATAGGACAGGCAGTTTTCAATGTAATATTGTGTATCTATATTTGTTCTTCCTTAACTGTTTCATATTGTCCAGATATATTAAAATTTTCATATTTTGTGAGCCAGGCTTTTGTTGCATTTTCTAACCTCTTCTGCAAAAATAAATAAATAAAAATACCACACCTGGTGAATGACAAGAAAAATTGAAGATCCAGATATAAATGTTGAACGCAGAAAGTAACAGGTGGTTAGTGCTAGAAACTAGTGATTTTGGCAACAGTTCATATATATTTTTTTTTTCTAGGAGAGAGAGAGAGACACAGCGTGAGCAGGGGAGGGTCAGAGAGAGAGGGAGACACAGACTCCGAAACAGGCTCCAGGCTCTGAGCTGGCAGTCAGCACAGAGCCCGACGCGGGGCTCGAACCCACGAACTGCGAGATCATGACCTGAGCGAAAGTCGGACGCTTAACAACTAAGCCACCCAGGCGCCCCTCAACAGTTCATATTTTAACAATAAACGTCAGAATCACATAAACATCAGAATTGTGCACATTTTTTGCCTAAATTTCCTGGTTTTGCTTTCAGACCCTTTTTGTTTTTAACTGTCATCCCAGTGCATTGGTCCCTCTGTCCTATTTCATTTAAGCATCCTAACCAGATATAATTTCTCTTTAATTTCTTCATAAATTCTTCAAGTATTTAGTACCTAGCTTTAGTCATCGTGTCCATATATTAGCCCCTTAATAAAGGGGTGATCTTCTATATAATTATTAGAATAGAAATGAAGGTCAGAGAAATAATTGAATTAAAAACACACACACAAACACACACACATACACACACACACACACAGAATGAGTCCGTGTTCTGACTGAACACAGGATCAGGACCTATCACACTAGCCTAAGCAGTTAGAAAAGCCTAAGCCTTGGGGCGCCTGGGTGCCTCAGTAAGTTGAGCATCCGACTCTTGATTTCGGTTCAGGTCATGATCCTAAGGTCATAGGACCGAGCCCTGCGTCAGGCTCCGTGCTGAGCGTGGAGCCTGCTTAGGATTCTCTCTTTCTCTCTTTCCTTCTCCCTCTGTCCCATTCCCCCTCTCCCACGCTGTGCTCTCTCTCTCCCTCTTTTAAATTAAGAAAATATTTATATAAAAAACCTAAGCCTTGTAGAAAACAGACTTCTGTCTTTTTATAATTAAATGTATTTTTTTTGTATGTCACTCTCGATCATCCTGGAAATGAGGGATGAGGGAAGGGTGTAGGGAAAAACTTTTTTAAAAAATATAAGTAAGTAAACTTGGTATTAGAAATTTTATAGCCCTATGGCTCCTGCCACCAGTTGAGCCCTCAAGGGCGTGGAAGGGGGAGAAAAGGAAAAGCCAGGGTTGGTTGCCTTTTTTTCTTTTTTTTTTTTTTTAAGATGATAAGAGCATAAAACTCTACCTAAAGTTGTCTAGTCACAAGGTAAAGTAAGATATTCAGGAATTATTTAGTGTGAAATAGCTCCTAGAAAATAATATCTACTCATTTAGGAAATGGGTGTTGCATGGGCACCTGAGCAAGGGTACTATTTCCTTTACTGCTGACACACGCCTGCCTTCCCCCGTCAGCCAAATGTTCACCGTGAATCTCACATTCCCTGTCGCATAATGTCCCCTTAATGGTCTAGTCTCAAATCCAGCCAGGCCCTCATCAACTCAGTACCAAAGGTATCTCTAATATTTGTTGATTCATTCCTTCATTACCTTTAATAGGGAACCTACTGGAGTCAAGCACTACCTGCTAAATAGGCTCTGGGAATATAATGAAGAATCAGATAAAGTCTTCGTTCCACCTTAAGCCTTCTGTGATCTTTATTTTGGGCAGAAAGAAGATAGTTCAGATTCTCAAGTATCCAAGCTCAGAGAGAAACTGCAGCTGATCGGTGCTCTCACAAACAAACCTGAGAGCAACAGGCCTCCAAACACCACCGACAAAGGTGAGATACTCAGGGCTGGCTTCTGCATATTTCACGCAGGCTTGGGCAGCTCGCCTCCCACACAGGGAGTGGGGACAGGTGTTCCAGCAGGACTGATCAGACCGAGGGAATGATGCCTGAGTGCACCGAGATGAAGATGATACACTTTGGTTTCATTTAGGAAAAAACCATTTTGTACATGATTTGTATTCCAGTCTATTAAGGAAAGAATGGGTAATGTTTAGCTTGAAATAGACTTCTCCATGCTGTCTGCATCCAATTATGGGCAAAAATGTAGCTGTCATAGTATATATTAAACCAGCCCTAAATGTTGTTTATGGGAGTCTTTTCATTACTCTAAGTGCATAAAATTTACTTAAAAATAAATATTAGTCCTTCTGAAAAACCATTAGCAAATAATGATGGGATCATTGAGTTGGAAAGGCCATTGGCTTTAGGGACATACCTAATCAATATCAGCAGATGCCTCGAGGACATAACTTTTTAAAGCACTGGACTGGATTGGCTTTGACCCTTCCCCTCCCCCCCATGAATATTTTTCACTTTGGGGAAAGCATTACAACTTCTCTTACTCTCTTTTGGGTGGGGGAACAAACAGTCTACAGTGGGAGGCCTTATCCTAACATCATGCTACATACTCGTGCAATAGCCCTCTTTCAGCACCAGCCGATCTGGTGGCACATACCCCGGATCAGGCGCATGGTTGGCTCCTGGGATATCAGATATCCAATGCTGTTCTCACTTGCAGCTTAAACCCTTAGCATCTAAACCTATATAAAGCTAACTTGTACTAGAAGAGCTTCCCGTGGGACCACAGCTTAAACCTTAATGTTATATGAGACTGGTTGATCTTCACTTACCCACACGACATATCCCAACCCATGCCTGTAACTTCACATGGTCACTGTGCTACTTGGTACATATGTAACTGCCCTAAAAGGTGACCATTAGTACTGGTTTATTTTGGTATAGATTTGATAATACTATAAAATGATTTGTGTTTGTTACAGAGCAAGTACAGAGTTTCACATCAAAGCCATCAGCATGGTCAGAATTTCCACAGTCTCCTGGAGCTCACATTGAGAAAACTGCCCAGCTAAGACCTGTTGCCCTACCAGGAATCTCTAGCATCAAAGGTAAATGTTTATACTATCGAGTAATAGGGGAAATGTTCAAAGCTATAACCTTTTCATTTTTTTAACTTCTAAGAAAAAGAATCATACTTAACATTGAGCACTTCCTGTGAGCTAGATACTTGATAGGACATGCATTATATTATATAATCCTTTTAACAATCCTGAGAACATAAATATTCATGTATTCTGCCCATTTTATTGATAGGGAAACTGCCTAAGTCCACACAGCAAATAACAGGCTGATGCAAAATTCACACCGAGGCAGTGTGACGCCAAAGTTTGCACTCTCAACCAATCCACAATATAGTCTTCATTCATTCAGGGAGTGCCTAATTAGACCCAGTGCTAAGCAGTAAAAATACAGTGTAAGACATGATCTACTTTCCTCCAGGATGTGTCAGTCTAGTGGAGAAGGCAAACAGGCAACTATGATACCCTGGGATAGCAAAATACAAGCTGACCCTGTTTGCGAAGGCCCTCTAAAAATGAGGGGTCCTCTGGCTGAACCAGCAAGATAAACATTAGTAAGAAGGATATGATTCATAGAAAAAAATGTGTCTGCCTTGCTTCCAACAGTGTGCACTATTCTTCATGTTCAGTCTCCAGATTTTGCATTCACTAACTGCCTGGAAAATCACTCATTCCTGTCCACCTACCTTTGCCTGGCTCTCCACCCTAGCTTAGATACCATTCCACCAGGAAACATTTTCTTACCTCCCAGGACTGGATTAGGTTCTTCCTGCTCTTTTATAATATCTTGTGTTTGCCCCTGTTTAGCACATGTCACTGTGTTGTAATTTCCTGGGGAGATAGAAAATTGGCTTTACTCCCAGTCTCTAGCATAAGGCCCGGTACACGTGAATATTTGTTACGTGACTGAGTTATCTACAGGCTACAATTAATGTTAAAGCATAGAAGACTTAAATTTCTATTGCCATATAAATGCATTACTTTTTTCTCTTATCTCCAGGCTTTTTTCTCTCTGCCTTCTGGGGAGACAGAAGAATGTTAAATTGTGTTTACTGGCAACACAGGTGCCTTCTCCCACTCTGCATTTATTACATCAAGAATTGATGAGAATGCATGGAGGAAAGACTGTTAGAGCAGATTGAGAAATAGCCACCTTAACATTTGTACTTCAGTCCCTAACATAGGCCTTACATACTTTGGATGACTACACTTTTGAAATGACCCGAAGCAGCAATAGGATTTTTATTTGAATACTGCTGCCAAGTGCATAGCACATTTTATAAACTCATACCCCATATGCACAAAAAGACACATTTTCCAGCTAGCCACTTGGTGGCAGCCATTGAGAACAAGCGTCCCACCTGCTTTTCTGGGTTTGAGAGCTTTTGAGACTCTTGAGCTGCTACGCTGGGGCTGTCTCAGGAGTGAAAGCAGAGCCTTCTTCAGAAGCTTGGCTGCAGAACTCCTTGATGGAGGGGATGCACTGCTTCCCCTCCCTTGAGGCCGTTCCTCCTAAGTACCAAACAGCAAGGGGCCTATAGAATCCAAGTGTGGAGCTGGCTACATGAAGAGAGGAAGTGATTGAGGAAGACTTTTAAAGAAACCTTAGCCTCCTGACTGTCTCTTGATATTAGACTAAATCTAAGTCATTCTGTGGAGACACAATCAACTCCTTTTAAAATACTATGTGAATAATCAGCCCTCCTAAGTGTTCATTATGGGACCGTTGAGAAAATACCAGAAGAGACTATTGATAGAAACTTTCCAATCCTATTGGCTCAAATAATATCTTGGAAATAAAAAAGATGCTACAGATCAACTGGTGATAGTGGTCTCTCTCTCAGCTGGGGGGAAAGAGAGAGAGCACATGTGCCTGATGCTTTATATATACTATATCGCTTTTAAAGAGATCTGTAGCCCTCTGGTTCTTTTTTCTTTTTTTTAATTGACATATATTTCATAGTACCATAGTATTCACGCTTTTAAAATGTATAATCTAGTGGTTTTTAGCATATTCACACGTTATATAATCATCACCATTATCTTATTCTCCAGAAGAAACCCTGTACCCGTTAAATACTCACTCTCTATTCCCCCACCCCTAAGACCCTGGCAACCACTAATCTTTCAACCAAAATCTTTGGATTTGCCTGTGCTGGTGTTTCATATAAATAGAATCATATGATCCATGGCCTTGTATATGCTTCTTTCACTTAGCCTGTTTTCAGGGTCCATTATGTTGTAGCATGTAGCAGTATTTCATGCCTTTTTATGGCTGAATAATATTCCATTGTATGTATAACACTACATTTTATCCATTCATCAGCTGATGGACATTTGAATTGTTTCTACCTTTTGGCTCTTAGGAATAATGCAGCTGTGAACATTCATGTACAAGTTTTTGTGTGGGCATATGTTTTCATTTCTTTTGAGTATATACCTAGGAATGGAATTGCTGGGTCATAGTAACTCTGTTTAACTAACAATATGCCAGAGTCTGTTTTACAGGCTCAGCTCCTATCATTAGCTCTTGAGGCCTCTGCAGTCCTTTTTACCTGTTCAACATAAGAGTAAAGTCTGGAAAATCTATAAGGAAGGCCTTGGACAGAGAGAAAGCCCAGCCCACTCTTTCTCCTGTGATTATCTGTCACTGCTTCTATTTTGGAAGGATAGTGCCATTCAGTAGTTCCTCTCATTCGTAAAGGATGAAGAATTGTCTTTCTGTTTAGTGAGATACTAAACTTTATCTTTTGGAAACAAAGTCTGCAAAATAGGTTTTCTTTTGTGCTTTGGATTCAGTTGAGGCTACTTATTAAACTATTAAGTAAATTTGGGGCATCTGGGTGGCCCAGTCAGTTAAGTGTCTGACTCTTGATTTTGGCTCAGGTCATCATCTCACAGTTCATGCGTTCAAGCCCCGCATCAGGCTCTGTGCTGACAGGGAAGAGCTTTTTGGGGATCTTTTCTCTCCCTCTGTCCCTGCCCCTCTCCTGCATGCACACACCCACGCACACAAACACTCTCTCAAAAATTAGTAAACTTTAAAATAAACTAATTAGGGGCACCTGGGTGGCTCGGTTGGTTAAGAGGCTGACTTTGGCTCAGGTCACGATCTCATGGTTCGTGGGTTCAAGCCTCACATTGGGCTCTGTGCTGACGGCTAGCTCAGCCTGGAGCCTGCTTCAGATTTTGTATCTCCCTTTCTCTCTGATCCTTCCCTGCTCATACTGTCTCTCTCTCTCTCTCAGAAATAAATAAAACATTTTTAAAAATTTAAATAAAAATAAAATAAACTATTTAAATTAAACAAACTGTTAAGTAAATGTAGCTATATGTATGTATAGACATACATATTTTCTGTAATTCCTTTTTAACAGATCTTCAGGATTTATTCCACAAGACTGGCCAGAACATGGATGGGAAGCTGACCTACCAGGACATCTGGAACTCCTTGGGCTCTGCTGTGCCAGGACTAGATACTTTGAAGGAGTTTGATTCTGATGGTGATGGAAGATATTCATTCCTGGAGCTAAGGGTAGCTTTAGGTGTCTAGTCTCATCAGGCTTTTTTAGATATACACCCAGGACTACCTAATATCTACTCACCTAACAAGAACAACTGTTTTACTTACCCATCAATCCTCCAATCCTCCAAACTACTGTAGCAGACACATTGCCACCTTTTAACTTGTTTGAAAAAGCTATAAAAAGTTATTTTTTTTTTAAAAAAAAAGAAGGCCGTTTTACTTATGTGATACTCAGAAATCCCTCATTTCCTAAAACTGATTAAGATCTTAATTTCAAACTTGCCAGAGAAAAGTCAAGCCCTCTTTTTTTTCCTCTTTCCTTTTTTTTTTTTTTAGGGAAGGAGACCTTATCTTTTAAAACGGGAAAATGTATATATAGAGAGAATAAGCCACCTTTTATATTTCACATAAATTTGCCTTAAATTAGCTGCACTTTATACAGGCTCAGAAAATGTCTTTCCTTTAAAAGGTAGACCTTTTCTGTTTGTAAATATTTAAAATGAAAAAGAATTGTGCATATTTTATGGGAAGTAGGAAGAATGGTTTGAAACAGGATGTAAACAAATGACTTGTTATTAACCACTGAAACTATGTCCCTGTCTCCTTACGGTGCTGCCGCGGGGTTTGGCCCGGAAGCTGAGGAGTAGATTGGGGAGGTGACACCGTAGGACAGTGCTGCCCCCAGGGTCAGGAAAATAATATTCTGGGTCTTTGTTCCTGTCCCCTCAGCTAATCCCAGCCTCTGAACCAGAGAAGTCTTGTTGGGGTTCTTTTTCTCACTTTGAATCCTGTTATCCAGTGGGGAGCTACGTTTTCCCCACTGAGTGAGCTAGATTATCTTCACTCACCCACCTAAGTCCATCCTCAAGCTAGAGCTGACCGCCACCTCTGACGCGGTCTCCATTCTGAGGGGCAGGGCAGCACTCTTCCGCTCACTGTCACAGCCTGGCTACCCAGGAGGAGCTTTAGAGGATAGCTTTGCTCCTCATTTTGACCCAGGAAGGTCCTTGAGATTTTACCTGGAGGCTTACTAAGAAGAACCTCATGTTCCTCTGTGGCCTGAGGCCAAAGAAGCCTACTGCAGCACATGAAATCCTGTTTCCCTTAACAGTTGTCAGCTCAGAAGTAGCTAGAGGGGCTCTGTCCAGAGGATGCCGAACCATGTGGAGCAGGCCTGTACCGGGGGCTTCATGTGGTGGTAGCAAGTTTCTTCGGATCTCATAACAAGCAAGTGCAATACTTCTCCCATTGAATACTTCTGTAGGCCCCCAGAAAAGTGGGAAAGGTCCCCAGACCGGAAGGAATTACACCTGTGTGTGTGCTGTGCTATATGAAGAGGCAGGCTTTGGACAACACAAAAGGAGAAACTTTGTGAAACTTAAGTGGTGCCGTAGGCCACATCAGGGAGAAACTGGAGCTTTCACGGCATAGACTTCTTTAGTAGAGCTCATTTCTATTTTAACTTTATCCAAGTTGCCCTGTTACCCATGGATGCAGTCGGGCATTTTAGGGCTGGGTTTTTTCCTTATATGATGTTCAGTTTAACCTTGATTTTTTTTCTAAAAATATTAAAATTTAGTTAAAGCAGGATGAAGTCTTTTCCCGTGAATGTGTCTGCTTACCTCACAATGGCTTGTGCTTCTCTCTTTTGGAAAAAACAAAAAAAACAAACACAAAAAAACCTTTCCCTTGCCCATCTGAGCTATTTCACTTTCTTGGGAAGGTTAAAATATAGTATAAAACTAGCCTGGCACTTTAGGTACCTTGAAGATAACTCTTTTTCTTCTGGCTGCCTTCCATGCCCACCCCCTTTTTAAATATATATACCCTTACAGATTTTGTAACAACCAAATAAAATTCTAGCAATAAATTGAATTATACTGCTATATTTGTATATACTGTACCATAAATAGTATGTCTGTACCTGGAAGGTATTTTTTTGAGAACTGATTTATATGAAATACACTTGAGGGTAATGTAGCTTGTCCTTTTTAGTTTTAAATTCTTATTCATAGGCAGATACGTTTGAGGGCACTTTAACTCTTTGTTGCCTATACTTTTCTTTAGTAGCAGATAGCTATACCTGGAGAAGTCAGTTTTGTTTTCCAGTTGGTCACCCGTCCCTCCCACCCCCAGCTTGTCTGGCTAGCTAGCACTGTCCCGGAGCCAGCAGTATGTGCGTCTTCCCTGCCACATCGGTGGAAGGGTTTCTGCTTCACCCTCAGACTGAATCCCTTTACTGTAACTGCTGCCCTGTCTCTTGGGCTGACCCAGGGCTTGTTGAGCTCTTTTGTTCCAAGTTGGTCAGATTCACTGGCTTAAGAGTTTTATAAGCCACTCACTCAGTGTTAATTTGGGAGTTTCATTTGTAAGTTGTCCTAACTTCTCCAGCCTGGGACTTCTGAGCTGTAGTCAAGCCACATCTGCCTCATCTCAGGGGAAGATTGGGTTTTGGTTTCTGTTTCAGATACTTTTAACTTTTTACTCTGGCAGCTCCTACTGCTGCTGCTTTCCTAAGTTACCCAAAGCACTGCTTCTTGGCCCTTTTTTTCTTTTGCCTTACTATCTGGGATAATGTTTACTTAGCCTCCCTATAAATCAGAGGACCAAAAAGGTATTCTAGGAAGAGAAGAATCAAAGGAGTAGAGAACCTGGCTTAGGGATGACTGTAGTGTCATCCATCCTAAGGGCAGAGAGGGACTTGGCACTTAGAAACGTGTCTGATACAGCAAAGCTAAAGGGGACACCCTTCACCTGCCACCGACTACTTTTCCTTCCATTGGTGTTTCCTCACGTTACGTTGCTTTGCTGGGCGTACCTGTTGTCCCTCACTTCCACCACTGGTCTTGCTCGTCACAGTTGAAGACTTTGACTGTGATGGGCTCATACTCCTAATGGCCTGCTGTTGAGTTGTTTTAAGTGACAGCTTTTGTTTGCTACACACCTCATTGGCTTACGAACACCAGCTAGATGTGGTTCCTTCTTTCATATCCAAACCAGAACACATTTGGGTATTCCTGAGACTTTTATTATAGAGTGTGTATTGTTTGTTATACGAACCTAACCTACCTTGTTGTTTTCTCATATTAAGAAATGTAAATCTACTTTGCTTTAGTGGAGCTATTTTGGTACTGTATAAGCAATTTTGGTTCTATGTAGGGAGTGAATTCAAGGTCTCTGACTTAAGCTTTGCTTATTTCATATCAGTAATACAGCTATTTTAATTTATCTAAATAAAACATTTCCTTTTTCTCCCACTGTGTCTGTGACTAAAGGTCCCCCTCCCCTCTGACCTTCAATTACTAAGAAAAGAAATGTGCTTTGATCCCTATTTTTATAGACTCCCTCCTCCCAAAAGCAACAACTAACAGATGGGAAAGAGTGTGCATTAAGAATGGCAGAGTCCGGCCTAAAGAAGTGAAGGCTCCTGCTTGGGCATCTTCACTTCAATAGGGGGTTGTGGGGGGAGCGGTGAGGGAGAAGTGAGGCCCTTCCCTTCTCTGTATCAGCCAAGGTCGTCTTACGTCTCCATTGCTGTTTTCTGTTTGGGGGTTTTCTGGTTCTTGGGAGTCATTTTTTAAAGATTCAGTGGAAGAGCATGTTTACAAGGAATGTTCCACTGCTTTCTGAAGGGAAGGGGGTGGAAGAAATCCATTCTAAGAGAGGGGTCATATAGGGGCTGGGGCTTTTTCATACACTGAGAAAAATAAGCTCTACATGTTTGCTAGGGTCCTAGGATTACACACACAGAAGCAAACATACACAATTGAAGGCCCTTCCCTTCAGGGAAGACTACAGAAAGCTTAGCTCTTTTACACATATGGTGAGATGATTCCCTCATTCCTCAAGTGAAGGTAAATTTTTATATCCTAGGGGAGAGTTGGGCCTTCTTATATTTAAAGTAGAACCAGGATGCCTGGGTGGCTCAGTCGGTTAGGCATCCAACTCCGACTTGGGTCATAATCTCATGGTTTGTGACTTCAAGCCCTGCATTGCACTCGCTGCTATCACCACAGAGCCCTCTTCAAATCCTCTGTCCTTCCTCCGCTCCTTCCCCATTCACACTCTGAAAAATAAATATTAAAACATAACTTTTAAGATTTGAGAAAAAAGATATATTTTGTGTGTAATTTTAGGGGGTTTAATGAGCAGTCCTAAACCAATCCATAGACCAAGTTAATCACACTCTACAGTCATGCACACAATCATTTGCCAAATATTTTCTAACGAGACATCATTAGGGTAGGGACACTATGGGGTATGCTGAGAAGGCTTCAAGATCTTTGATGCCAGGAAGATGTAAATTTAAGACCTGGCTTTGCAACAGAAAAACGATATGCCAGATGTTCTTGGAACCAAGAGGATTATGATGTCTATTTGGCAGTTTTCTTGTATGAGAAGTGACAACACAACCATAACTCAATGCATCATCAATATTAATAACGCAGTTGAGCCAGCAATGCAGCGTGGCTCGTGGATTTCATGATGACTTGTCTGTGACAAGGCCACTGTGAATCGCCATAACTCATACCCCCTCAGCAGCTGTCACTCACGACAGCTGAACTTAATATCCCACAGCACAGCAGTGTCTTTGGATACCTAGCCCAGGGCCTGGCATGCATTTTTGGTCTTAAATACTGAATAGGATGTTGAGTTCATGTGTATCGATCCAGTGTGTCTCCCCACAGCCAGCCCTCTTGTTCCCGCTTGTGGTTTGGTGACCTTCAGCTAGGTTTGCAAAGTGCCTCCATCAAACAGGGGAAGGACATTGCCCTCCTAAAGACAAATGAGACACAAGGGAGCTTTGGACTTTTTTTAGTCTTTAATAATGTGACATCCAGATGAGTTCTGGCCTCTGTGTCAGTACCAACTCCCTGAGGTTAGCTCTATTTTCCTGCTCTGCCCCTCTGCCCCTCCTCAGTGAGAGGAGGCTACAATTCTGAAGCAAAAGGCTTGGCACTGAAGCAGTGGTCTCCATGGGCCATAGTGGGGAGGGAATGGAAGTGGACATTCCTTTCAGGACAGGTGTCCAAAGGGTAGGAGACCGAGTGGTTCAGCATTGGGGGCAGATTGCACAGGGAAAGGGCAAAGGGCACCTCCTGAAAGATCGGCACCGGGAGCGGGGAGCTGGTCCGGGACTGCAGCACTGGGGAAGGTAAGGGCTCCTGCGGGACCAGCTGCAGTGCAGGTTGCGGGAGTGCAGGGGCCTCCTCCATGGGGCTGCTGTCTTGGGCAGCAGAGCTCCTGCGCCCAGGGATGTCCAATTCCCACAGAGGACCTAAATTCTGGACCTCAGTCTTGGTCTTGGTGACAGCAGGGGGAGGGCCCGTGTTGATGGCTGTGTTCATGCCATAATGCCGACGCTTGTTAATCCAGTACAACAGGGGGCTATAGGTGAACGTGGCGGCTCTCATCACCTCCACCCACTCATGGGCACGCTCTTCCCGTCGCAACTTCTTCCTCCAGTGCAGAAAGAGAATGCAGCCACCGGTTGCCACAGAACACAGCCCCAGGATTCCAAAGTACAATGAGACCCACACTAAGGCAATAAGAAAGAAAAAGAGGCAAGCTGGCTGATAGCTCTAATCTGGGGCCTGAGCTGTTTCTCATTCTTTTCCTTAGCCCTTTCATCAGTTATCCCATCCACTCAACCACTATCTGTTCCTCCCGTCCCTCCTCATTGACTTGTCTCATCATTCTCTTATTCTGTCAATGCTAGATTTCCAGGGAGCTTAAGGGGCCACCTTGAGTCCTTACCAGATAAGGAAAGTTAGGTCTAGAGGGGGCATGACCTGCCCAGGCTTGGTCAAGCCTCTGATTCGCCACCCTGGACCCATCCAATCCATCAGATTGAGAAGCCTTACCAAAGGCAAGGCCCATCAAGGAAGTAAAAGTTTATCAGTTGATGGGGACACCAGTATCCCATCCCATTCCACCGTATCCCTTACCCATTCAGTTGTGATGGCCCTAGGGTATTCACCCCCCTCTGGTTCAGCAGAGAAACATGGTCTCTGCCCTCAATCCTTAGTTTTCTAGAGGAAACGATATCCTAACTGCTTTTCACTCCTCCATGCGGGCAGCCATCACCCTGTCCATGTAAAAGATCTACCCTGAGTGCCTGCCCCAAACTAAGGGCACAAAGCGAGGGGCAGGGACTGAAGGGGGGCATTTACCACTAGGGAGGCTCAGGTCTTCCCGCTGCGAATCCATAAGGTCGAGCCTTGGTACCCAGCTGATGGCTCTGGGGAGAGGGAGCTCACCTACCCATCTGCCCAGCCAATAGGAGTCCCTGTAATGCTCAGCCTCATTGTTCCCTAAAGGTGAGGTCACTGGGTTCTGAGCATTAAACATTCTAGGGGCAGGGCTTGTGAAGTCTTGGGTTAACAGAAGGAAAAGGACTCTAATCCAATGGTGTCACATAGGTATGGTGTATCTCTTCTGCCAAGGACTGACCCACCCACTGAATTTTCCACCCCCTACCCCTATGGTGAACAGAACCCCCCAGGAAAGGAGCCCCCGGTCTCTCAAGGGTCTATCCATGTTGCTGGGCTTTAAGAGACAGTTGATGGATACCTGTTGAAACCTGCTCAAGGGAACTAAGTGATCAATGCCTCAGTCCTTGGCTCATACAATTTATCTTTTATTTAGTTACCTTCAACAAGTGTTAGCCAATGTTTCCTGAGCATCAGGGCCTGTGGGAACTCCTCCACCATCCGGCCCTACATGTCAGCCTCACCTTCCTCCCTATCCTTTACTACCTTCCCCCTCTGACCAGGCCAGACTCTATTCAAGACCCTGCCTGTTCACATCTCCAGACATTTGCTCATAACGCTCTTCCACCTAGGAGTGCCCTCTCCACTTCCTCCCTGACTGAACACCTACTTACCCTTCAAGGCTCAGCTCAGCCCCCCGACTCCGTGACAGTTGTTTCTGTTGGCTTCCCAGAATCCCATCATCTCCAGTTTGAAGGGACTTTGAGAGCTGGGTAGTCCAATTCCTGTCATGCTTAAGGTCTGGAGGTAGACCTCCTCTACCCAGCAGCCAAAGCTGCAGGACTCACCTGAATCAGGGACTTGCCACACCTCCCATGGCAGCTCAGTCAGAAAGCCCTTCCCTAATGAAGCCCAAGTCAGCCTCCCTGCAGGTACACCCGTGGGCCTAGCTCAGCTTCTTGGCACCATTCAATTACTTCCTTCTTTAGGGTCCCCTGGCACGTGACTACTCAGCACAGATTTCCCTCCAGGTTCCGCTTGCCCTTGGGTCTCCTATCTCACTCACTCCTGCTTTTCATTCTCTTTGCTCATTTCTTCTCTTGTCCCTGATCTCTAAATGTCAACGTGCCCCAGGGCTCAATCTTCAGCCCTCTGTCTACATTCATTCCCTCAGTGATCTCATCCACACTTGTGGTTTTAAATATTATACACGCACTGACTGACAACTCACACTTTATTTATCTCCAGCCCAAACTGCTCCCCAGGACTTTGGACTCATTCACCTAAGAGCCTGGTTGACATGCCTACCATTACAGGGATTAAGTCTACTAAGGTATCTTAAACTAACATGCCCCAAAACAAACTTCTGATCATCCTTCCTCCAAAACCTACCCTAGCCTTCCTCCTCTCCGTAAATGACAACTCTGTCCTTCCAGTTGTTCAGACCAAAAGCCTATAAGCCACCCTGGACTCCTTTTATTCTCTCATGGCCGCATTCGCTCCATAAACACAATCATTAGGCCTTGCCTTCAACACACATCCAGAATGTGACCACTTACCCATCACTATCACTTCTTTCTAAGCACCTTCCCTCCCCCACTCTGAGTACTGGTTCCTGTAGGGTGCCCAGCCATCCCATTTGCCCTGGACTGAGGAGGTTTCCAGGACAGAGGATTTTTGGAGCTAAAACCAGGAAAGTCTCAGGTAAACTACAACAAACTGATCACCCTTGGGAGAATTTCCATCCTTGCCGCACCCCTCCCCCAACACGCCCTGTATTTCACCAGCAACCAGAATGAGCCTTTAAGAAAGTAGATTAAAGTGGGGGGCCAGGGTGGCTGGGTCATTTAAGTGTCCAACTTCGGCTCAGCTCATGATCTTACAGTTCGTGGGTTCGAGCCCCGCATTGGGCTCTGTGCTGAACGCTTGCTCAGAGCCTGGAGATTCTGTGTCTTCTCTCTCTGTCCCTCCTTACTCACGCTCTGTCTCACTCTATCTCTCAAAAATAAATAAATGTATAAAAAAAGTAGATTAAAAAAAAGTGGAGCATGTTACTTCTCTGCTCAAAACCTACACTGACTCTCCATCATGCTCAGAATAAACAATGTCCTCAACCAAGGTCTATAGAGCCCTAAGTGATCTAACCACCCTTACCTCTTCAAATAAGAACCTCCTTGCTGTTCCACAAGTAGGGCAGGCATGCTCCTATATCAAAGGCTTTGCACTTGCTGTTCCCTCTGCCTGGAAGGCTCTTCTCCCAGATATCCATACAGATGATTCCTTCATTTCAGTCAACTCTCTGCACAAGTGTCCACTTATCTCTATTTCTCTTAGCCTGTTTTGTTTTTCTGCATAGCATGTATCATCACCTAACATTACAATTGACCCTTGAACAATATGGGGGTTAGGGACGATGATCCCCTCCCTGCACCATTGAAAATCCATGTGCAACTTTTGACTCCCCCCAAACTTTACTAATAGCCTACTGTTGACCAAAAGCTTTACCAATAACATCAGCATTAGATTAACACATATTTTGTAAATGTAGTAATATACCATATTCTTACACATAAAGTGAGCTAAGAAAATGTTAAGGAAATCATAAGAGAAAACACATTTACAGTTTTGTAAAAAATCCACAAGTAAGTGGACCTGCACAATTCAAACCCATATCATTCAAGGGTGAACTATTTATTTTTTGTCTCTTACCCCTCTAGAATGTTACCCCGCTCCATGAATAAGTGTAAACAAGGAAATAACTACCTAAGAATTTCAGATAGTCAGAATTGCTATGAAGAGAATAAAATAAAGTAGTTGGATAAAGAATATAAAGGGGTAGGGGACATCAAGAAAAGTCCCTCTGAGATGCTGACTTGTGAACTGAGCCATAAATGATGAGAAGGGAGCCTCATGCAGATCAAAGCAGAGGAATCAGCCGGTGCAAGGATCCTGAGGCAGGTATAGGTCAGCACATTTGAAGGACTTACTAATCTCAAAGTCTACCACATTATTCCAGCACAGGTCAGGGCCTAGGGCCAATCTCCATGAGTATAGGTTAGACTGTAAAGAGTTGAAGATCATGTCCCTGCCCCCAGAGGAGTCCACCAGTCAGCAAGGGGTTCTACCAGGTAAGACCCAGACAGGAAAGACTTCCACGAAGGCAAACTGATCAGTGCCATCATACGTGGCTTTTTCCAGGGCTGGCCCTGTGCTGGAAGCAGGTGAGACATAGAGATGTTGATGTCATTATCCAAGACCTCAGGAGCTCCCACTTGGTTCAACAGGATGAAGAAGATTGTGGTGGAGCACCTGGGTGGCTCAGTCAGCTAAGCCTCCCACTCTTGATCTCAGCCCAAGTCAGGATCTTATGGTTTGTGAGACTGAGCCCAGCATCAGGCTCTGCACTGACAGTGGGGAGCCTGCTTGGGATTCTCTCTTCTTCTCTCTCTGTCCCTTCACACTTATTCACACTCTCTGTCTCAAAATAAGTAAACTTTAAAAATGAAGAAGATGGTATTGGGTCAAGAGAGAGGAAAGAAAGAGCATTCCAGGGTGCCAGGGTGGCTCAATCGGTTAAGCATCAGGTCATGGTCTTGCCTTTCGAGAGTTCAAGCCCTGCTTTGGTCTCTGTGCTGACAGTGCAGAGCCTGCTTGGGATTCTCTCTCTCCCTCTCTCTCTGCCCCTCTCCCGCCTGCTCTGTCTCTCTCAAAATGAATAAACTTAAAAAATAATAATAAAAAGAAAGAGCATTCCAAGGATCAAAAACAGCCAAAATAAAGATTTGTCAGGGACAGACCGAGGCATCTCTTTAGGGAGAAGGGTAGTTCAGTTTGGCTGGCATTCAAAGTGGATGTCAGGAAGCACAGGGAGACAAGGCTCCAGAGGCAGCTGACATCTTGCAGAGTTCAGTCCTTGGGTAGAACTTAGACAAGTCTCTTAATGACTCTCAGCCTCAGTGTCTCCATTGGTAAAATGAGGAAAATGCCTGCCTCACAGTGTATGAAGCAGTTGGTGTTCTGCACACAAAAACACCCAGTAAAGAGACGCTGTTCCTGTGATTATAGCTGATGAAAGGGCGTTGGATGCTGAAGGACAACTACTGTGGAGAATGCCAAAAGAATCTGAAAGGGAGCAAGCTCCATGAGGACCGGGAGCAGGTGCGAGCGGCTCTCAAGAGGAGACGTGGAGTGCAGACTGCTGGACCTGAGAGGGAGGGCGTGGAGCCCGGCGGGCTCCAGGGAGGAGGCGGGCCGTGGCGCTCGGAGCAGCGGGCCGAGCGGCGAGCCCCCTCCTCCCCGCTGCGCCTCACCTAGCCCGCCCGAAGCCCGGAACCTTGTGCGCGCGGAACCTCGGTGCAGGACCCGGAGCACAGAGGACCCGGAGCGCGATGGAGCAGGCGCGCGGGCCGCGGGCTGAGGCCGACGCGCACGAGGAGGAGGAGGAGGCGGGGGTGGCCATGGCTGCCGCGGTGGCGGCGGCTGGCGGAACGGGCCCCGCCGTGCTGCAGGTGGCCGGTCTGTACCGGGGCCTGTGCGCGGTGCGTAGCCGCGCCCTAGGACTGGGGCTCGTGTCCCCCGCGCAGCTGCGCGTGTTCCCGGTGCGCCGCGGCTCGGGCCGGCCCGCGGGGGGCGCCGACGGTAGCGGGGCCGGGGCCGACCTCGAGGCCAACCCCTTCTACGACCGCTACCGGGACAAGATCCAGCAGCTGCGCAGGTGCGGACGCCGGCCGGCGGCGGGCGGGGAGGGGCGGCGCGCGGCCCGCGTTTCTGGTGGATCCGACGCCCTCGGTGCTTACGACAGCCCTGCGATGCGGGCCCAGTTACTGCCCCATTCTACAGGTGATGCGTCTGGGGTCAGAGAAGCAGGGTCACTTGGTAACATTACACAGCTAGGTTCAGAGCTGAGAGTCTCTGCAAAGTCCTCGCTCTTCCCGCAGTTGTCTTTGTGCTCTAGTTCTCAAAATGCCGAGGTGGAATCTTGTGTCAGCTCTTATGAAGGAGGCAGTTCCAAGAGACCTGCCCTCATTATAGAAATGGGAACATAGAGCCTTTCAGAGAAGGGACTTGACTTGCTCAAGGTCACATATTGATTCACTGGGGCCTGGCCTAGAACTGGGATTCCCAGGTTTCTAGCTATAGCCCTGACTACATGGAAAGGGGGTTGGGGGAGGGAGCAGGGCGTCAAAGACTAACGTTGTGCCAGTTGGATCATCCACCCAATCCTCTCGTTAAGATGAGGAAACTGAGGGGCGCCTGGGTGACTTAGTCGGTTAAGCGTCCGCTTTGGCTCACGTCATGATCTTGCGGTTTGTGGGTTCGAGCCCCGCATCGGGTTCTGTGCTGACAGCTCAGAGCCTGGAGCCTGTTTCAGTTTCCTTGTCTCCCTCTCTCTCCGCCCCTGCCCCACTCATGCTGTGTCTCTCTCTGTCTCAAAAATAAATAAACTATTAAAAAAAAAAAAAGATGAGGAAACTGAGAATGAGCGTTAGAGACCTGCCAGAGGGCACATAGCTGGTTGGGATTCACCAGACTTGGAATCCAGGGCTCCTAACACTACTCCTCAGTTTCCGGATAAAAGGACTTGGAGATCAACAGGGTTGAGGTGGGTGTAAGGGGACCAAGAGAGGGTCTGAAGAATTGAAGTGGGAAGAGCTGAAGATCAAAGGTGAAAATTAAAGTGGCTTGGGAGAGAATTTGGCAGGGTAGGCAGACAGTTGTCTTAGAAAGGAAACCGAAGACTGATTACTATAACTTCTTTGAGTCCTGTCTCACCTCTACTTGCATGGCCGAAATTTACTCCTTTGTTATCTCCTGGACTCTTGCAGTCATCCACCAGCCAGTCTTCCCCACTCCTCCACCCCAGTTCAGCTGACCGCTGCTATTGTGATCTGCCTTCTCTTTTTGAGAAAAAAAATGACAATAAAGGAAGAATTTTTTTCTCTCTTTCCAGTAGCATTCAGATATACTCAAGGATTTCTCATCTTTAAAACCTTTCCTTGACCTACATTCCCTCCCAGCCTTTTCTCATCTATCCCTTTCATAGACAGGCAGGCATCTTAGAAGAGTTGTCAGTACATACTCTGAATACTGCACAGCTCCTATTCATTCTTACTCATGAACCAGTGAATGGCTGGTTTCATTCTCCTTCCCATCAATATTTACACATACTGCTGTCACTAAAGTGAGCTTTCCAAAGCACCCGCACTGACTCTGGATAGTGTCCATATTCCGTAGTGTTCCACACAAAGTTCTCATGCTGTAGTATCTGTCAGTCTCTCTCTACTCACTGAAACCTGGGCTCTTGTAGCAACAGCCCCAAGTTTGGTGTGAGCCAGTAGGAAAAGGCTCTGTACCCTGCTGACCCCTTCCAGCCTAGTATCTGGATTTCGCATCATACTTTGCTCTGGTGAATTGGTAGGATATTCTAGCTCCACACCCACTATATCTAGAGTGTGGACAGATTCCAGAGAGCAGATTTATAGTGAGGAAATATTCACAAATACATATATGAAGAAGGGCCAAAACAACTAAGGAAAATTTAACCTAGAGAAAAAGTTAGAGGGTAACATAATAGTGATTTTCAAGTGTTCAGATAAAAGGAATTAGACATTTTTTCCCTGTTCCTGAGAGTGAAAGGTACAGATAGATTTAGGCTCAGAATGTTTTTTAATAATCAAAGCTGCCCAAGGTGGGCGTGCACAGACTCCAGTGCCTGGGCTGCCCCTTACTCACTCTACCCACTCACCGTGGCAAGCCCAGGTACAGCTGCGGATGCTTGCAGCACTTACCTTGATCGTGGCATTTGCAGTCCCAGCTGGGTGGGTGCCACATCCCACAGGACAGAACCCCTGGACTGACTGTACTGAGTTGCTGGCCTGCTGTGGAGGGGAGGAAGAAGATTGGTCCGTGTAATGGCAATGAAGGGAGTAGTGTTTAACGTCACCTCTACAATAGAGTGTTATGGAAGAGGGGTCCCATACAATGCCTTGACCAGGAAGGACTTCACCAGAGAAGTGATCGCAATGCCCTTGGATCCTGCAGACCTCACCGAAGACAGGTCTCATGGCCCAGGAGCTGGAATCCCCATATGATGTCTTCACTAAAGTGTACAGTGACAAGTGTCACCTTGTTGGCTACACAGCCTGAAGACTTCTTAACAAGGATGGCAGCCCCAACATAGACTTCAGGCCTGAAGACTAGTTTCTTTTTTTTTTTTTTCATTTTGTCTTCTTTTTTTTTTTTTTTTTTTTTACAAATAGTTTATTGTCAAATTAGTTTCTTTGAAGACTAGTTTCATTTGGACCCAGAGGGCAAATTCTGCTATTCCATCTGCAGGAACAAGGTCTGGGGAGAGAATCAGGGAGATACTTAGATGCTAAATCTTCTCCTGCAAAATAGGCTGCCTAAAGCCTCTGAATCACCTGCATCTGAATAAACAGGTATTTAACCTGGGGGTGGGGGGAAGAGGATGTCTAAGAAATAGATGTGTTCAAGTAACAGTGTTCAAGTAAAAAACACCTCCTAGGAGTGCTGTTGGACTCCTGCCTGAGCAGGACATCCAAGCAAGATGACTTCAAAGTTCTCTTCTATCTTGAGGACTTGAATTCCAAGTATGTAGAGTATAAGTACCTGAGGGACCAAGCTCTGCATCACCCTAGGAAATATCCTGCAGAAGATGGTATACAGGCACCTTGAGGATTAACAGTCACTAAATAACTGGATTTCTGTGTCCACTTTCTTGATTTGTAGGCAAATCCTTCAACTTCTGAATGCCTGTGTCCTCTCTCTCTGGAAGTGGAACATGATGCTTTGTTATTTTCAAATCCAGAAAGTTCCACGTAGTTTAACTTTTGGTTTACCTCTAATCAGATCTGACCCAGCTGCTTTTGAATCCCGACTAGAGAAGCGCAGTGAGTTTCGGAAGCAGCCAGTGGGGCACTCCAAGCAAGGGGACTTTATCAAATGTGTGGAACAGAAGGTAAGACCTGCCCCCTTTGTGTTGTTAGCTCACTAGCGCTCCACCCGCCACCCCCTGCCAATCCATATCCTGGTAGTGGACTCGGTGATGGGTCAGCTGGATGAATGAATATAGCTTCATTCTATTCATCTCAGGCTCCGTCCATAAAGGGTGTCCTACTCTTTCTGGCAAGGTACTGTAGTCATGGTAGCGATATGGAGGGATGAAAAAGGCATGCTCCTAGGGGGTGCAGTGGAGTGGTCAAAGCAGGGTACACATGGCAGTGGGTTGTAGGGATCAGGGATCAAAAAAGTGCTTTGTAGCTATTATTATCCTCAAACAAGAATCAAAGCTGGGGAAAAGCATGTTGAAATCTAATGCAGTCTTTTCCAGACTTTTTGATCATGAGCCACAGTAAGAAATATATTTTACATTGCAGTTCAGTACATGTATGTATTTGATTATAACTGAAGCAAAGTTTTTACAAAACAATGCTTACTTTTTTTGTTTGTTTTTTAGAGAGGGAGAGGGAGATAGTACAAGCAGGGGAGGGGCAGAGAGAGAGGGAGATGCATAATCAGAAGCAAGCTCCAGGCTCTGAGCTGTCAGCACAAGACCTGACGCAGGGGCTCGAACTTGTGAACTGCGAGATCATGACCTGAGCCGAAGTTGGACGCTTTACCAACTAAGCCAGCCAGGTGCCCCACAATGCTTATTTTTCGTACATGCAGTGCAGCTTATTTTCTTTTAAAAACCTTTGGTCACAATCTAGTAAATTGATTTCACTGCCTAAGATTTGAAAAATACTAACCTAGGGGTACCTAGGTGGCTCAGTCGGTTAAGTGTACGGCTCTTGATTTTGGCTCAGGCCATGATCTCGTCATGAGATCAAGTCCCACATTGGGCCTCATGCTGAGCATGGAACCTGCTTGGGATTCTCTCTCTCTCTTTCTCTCTCTCTCTCCATCCCCCCCTTCCCTACTCACACATATCTCAAAAATAAATAAATATTAAAAAAATACTAATCTAGGGTGGTACATAGAACAACTTGGAAAATAAAGAAAAAGAACAAATTGGAGTGGGAGAGGTTAAAACCAGGAATCCAGGTGTGGACTTGAAATAACATATAGTGGAAAATTGGGATTCTACACTGTGTTCTAGAATGAGAGATACTTATTTAATTTGGAGAATAACTTTTTTTGCCTTAGGTATTCTAAATTTTAAGAGAATCCACTTAGTTTTTTAATAACTGGGTGAGTTCATTAGAACAAAAGCAATAGGCACTGAGTTAATCATTACAAGGTTGGGGAGCAAATTCAACCTCCTATGACAAACATAGTTTACAACTTTATGTGAACAAACAGGTCTCTACTACATATATTTTAACAAATGTAATTTCCTATGATAAACATTTATAGTGCCAAAGTTACAAGTCAATAGCTCTTGGAAATATTACTATATTATAAACTTTCAATATGACGTGGGAAAGCTCTTTGTTCCCATTTGTAAACAGACTTAGAAATTCAACTTATGATGACAAGATAAAAATGTAAGTAAAATGTAATTTAAATTATGGCAACTCCTGGGTAAATAATGACTTTCTGTCTTTCCTATCTAGGTAGATAGAAGACGGCTAATGACTCCATTCCCAAAGCCTTTTCTTTACTCTGAGTCATTGGTTCCCTACCACATGAGACCCAAAATCCCCTTTTTAAAAAAAATTGTTTTTAATTCTCCATTTTCTATACTGAAATGGTATGTGGACAATTAACACATTGATACTCATAATTTCAGAGGGAAAAAAAAATCAATGTAATGCCCTACCTGTAATAGAAAGGAAAGAGCTTTCAATAAAATACTTATTTAGAAGATGATATGAATATGTTTCTATATGAATGAATGATATAAATGAAATATTTATAAGTGAAATTTAGTATCTAAATTCTTGAGCACAACTATGCTGTGAAACCTAATGCAGTCATCAGAGGCTTTCACCTATATGTGAAATCACCATGAATACATAAGCAGCAAATGCTGACTGGTATAGGGGTGTTATGTTATTACTTTAAAAAAAAAACAAATCATGATGAGCAGTGTTGTTATCAGTGATTCTCATGAGATTCCACAATGTACAACCTTCTTTTAAGTTAAATAGTAGTTGCATTTCTGAAAATTTCAGTGTTTGTTAAAGCCATGTTAGAAGGAAGGGAGGGAGGAAGAAGAGCAAAAGAGAAGAGAAAAGCAAAAGAGAATTAGATTCTAGACCCAAGTAATTATAAAAAGGTTTTTCTCTTATGAGGATATCTGACTAGACCCTGAAAAGTTGTGCAGGATGAGGGAAAATTCTTCATTATGTGGATCTCATTGGGAAGATCGCAGCTCCTGACACCCCTTCCCCTCCCATACATACAAATGTCTTCATCCAGTCAGCTAGTGTAATAATAGAAAAGTTGGGAGCGCCTGGATGGCTCAGTCAGTGAAGCCTCCGACTTTGGCTCAGGTCATGATCTCACAGTTCGTGGGTTCAAGCCCTGTGTCAGGCTCTGTGCTGACAGCCAGCTCAGAGCCTGGAGCCTGTTTCAGATTCTGTATCTCCCTCTCTCTCTGACCCTTCCCTGCTCACGCTGTCTCTCTTCTCTATCTCTCAGAAATAAACAAAACATTAAAAAAAAAATTTTTTTTTAAATAATAGAAAAGTTGTCCACACAGATTTCCAAAGCATCTGTAGAGGGTAGTAAAATACCCATATAAATGTTTTATTAAGTGCTCTTGAGACTTCTGGAACATACTTTTTTTTTTTTTTTTAATGTTTTTTATTTATTTCTGAGAGAGAGAGACAGCATGAGCAGGGGGAGGGTCAGAGAGAGAGGGAGACACAGAATCTGAAACAGTCTCCAGGCTCTGAGCCAGCTTCTGGCACATACTTTTAACTATAATTTTAATTGCCTTATTTCATTTCCAAAGCCCACTTTATTCTTAAATTTTAACATCTCCAAAATTGTCTTAAAATTGATATGATCTGAAAGTATGCTGTGTTATTATTTAATTAGCATCATTTTCTGATGCATCAAATAATGGTGTTTCTTAAGAGGTGTCTTAGGTTAGATAAAACACAGTAAGTTTATATTTGGAGCTTAAATTTGTTATTTCTAGAAGTGCAAATGGAAATAAAAAATGGATTGGAGGGACATTCTGGGGAAAGAATACACCAGGCTTAGTAAGAGGAGAAGGCAAGCAGTGCCGGTGGAGAGCTTCATTTGTTTTGTTTTCACAATGCACCTGAAAGGTGAGTGGTATGAAAATGAAATCAATTCTCCGTTTTCTGGAAAGTTTACATATGGAGGACAGACTGCATTAGGATGCTGCCACAGGATAGGGGTATGACCAAAAAGACCAGGGTGTATCCAATATATTTTTCTATACCAGACTTTTGTCTAATTTGTGGGTACTAGTCTGTGGCCATCATTTATGAAAAGTTTGGATTCATGAAGGCACAGACTAACAAAAGATGGGGTTTTGTGCAGAGAATGTTTTTCAGCCTCAGAATCCCAGGTGTAGATTGTACTTCTGAAAGGCATGGACTTGAACTAAGAAATTGAGTGGAAGACTCAGAAGAACCCATCCCTACTATCAGAAATCTCAAAATAGGATTTCCTGGCTGTGGCCTTCCTCAGAAATAGTAGGCTGGGAGAAGAAGTAATCACTAATTTGATGGAGGGAATATTAAGAGTGTGTGCTAGAAAAGACCCTAGTCTGCTGAGGATGGCTGCCATCAGAAGTGCTGTCACAGACAGGAAGCAGCCTTGGAAAATACATTTTTCCATTTTTCTGTGGCTCACTGTGGAGCAGATCAGAGAGCAGAGTGCAGGAAACCCAAGCAGGCCTCATTCTGGGAAGGAGTCCCTCATATCCATAGTGGCAGGTATGGAGTGGACTCTCAGTACCATCAGATGGTAGTTACTAACAAAGAAATCTTTTTTCATCTCTGTATCTCAAAAGCTTAGTCATAGAAAAGTTGTATCACAAGCAGTAACTCTTCGAACAGGGTGTACAGTTACTATATAGAATGGAGAAAAGTGAGTTCTCAAGTGTCACATTACTAAAATGAGATATCAGGTACTTCACCTAGCTTGGTGGTCTTTTTCTTATGAGCAAAGCACAGATAAATATCGTATCTCATCATGTATTTCAGACGGACCCCTTGGGGAAACAGCCTGTGAGTAGAGGATTCACTAAGGACAAGGTAGGTTTCTAATTAAAGATCCAAGTCTGAAGTCATATGGAACATCTATAACAAGAGGTTACAAATTTAAACATATTTACTAATGGTTCAGCGATTTCACGATTTTTTTTTCCAACTGTGGAGATGAGAATTATTTCTATAAATTTTTACGTCCTTGATATAACCTCTAGCATAGTCTGGGTCCTGAGGGTGCTAGAGGAAATATGAAGGCAATACAGTAATATAGAAATAAAGATACCCTTTCCTTTTATAGGAAGTATTTTTGAAAAATCAAAGCATGTTTATTCTCATTTAATTTGCAAATAAGGAGCCACCCCTAGTAGAATAGCAGATAAGGTAACAACCAAATTTTCTCCTCTTACCAGCTGCAAGGTGCTGTAGTGCTCATTAGTGAAGGTGAAGCATTCGGAAAATACTTATAGATACTCCCCAGGAATAGTACTGTGTAAACCTGCCTGGGCTTAGGGGTTCACTTCTCTGAGCATGCAGGTTTTCTTATATATATTCTCTACTTATTGAAGATCTACTCCACTGTCCTGACGTGTTGTGTCTGACAAGGCTTACAGATAGAGCTAAACTATTTTATTTTTTTAATTGTGGATGTTAATTGCCTTTTATTTTGTCATTCAGACTCTCAGTTCAATCTTTAACATTGAGATGGTGAAAGACAAAACTGCAGAAGAAATAAGACAGGTAATGAAATGAAAATGGGTTGGCCTACTTTGTGAAAATGTGTGCTCTGTAAGCCAAATCTGGAAGTAGAAAGGAGCATACATTTCTTGACACCTCTTTTTAGCTAAAATGAAAGGTGGTCATAGAAGGCAAAAGTGATGAATTACATGAAAAAGAATGGCATGAGAAAGCTTGTCCTTCTTGATTTTATTGCCGTATGTCTAATCAACTCACATTTCGCCTTTCTATTTCACCCTTGTTGCCCACATCTTATTTAAAATCATCCATAATGGGGTGCCTGAGTGGCGTAGTCAGTTAAGTGTCCAACTCTTTCTTTTTTTTTTTTAATATTTTTATTTATTTCTAGGATAGAGAGAGACAGCGTGAACAGGGGAGGGTCAGAGAGAGAGGGAGATACAGACTCTGAAACAGGCTCCAGGCTCTGAGCTGGCAGTCAGCACAGAGCCCGACGCGGGGCTCGAACCCACGAACCGCGAGATCATGACCTAAGCGAAAGTCGGACGCTTAACCGACTAAGCCACCCAGGTGCCCCAGTCCAACTCTTTCTTGATTTCCGCTCAGGTCAGGATCTCACAGTTGTGAGATCAAGTCCTGTGTTGGGCTCCACATTGGTGTGGAGCCTGCTTAAGATTCTCTTTCTCCCTTTCTCTCTCTGCCCTTCCCCTGCTCATGTGCACAACCTTCTCTCTCTCTCAAAAAATAAAATAAAATAAAATAAAATAAAATAAAATAAAATAAAATAAAATAAAATAAAATAAAATAACCAGTACTGTTTCCTGGCTTGCTGTACTACTGTCTGAATAGGTTTCCCTGCTCTCATTTCCCCCTGCTCTTCCAGCTCTCACAGCCTTCCCAGTTTCGTTATGGAGAAGCATAGTGTGTTGGTTAAGAACACAGACTCTGGAGCCAAGCTGCCAGTTTTAAGTCCTAGCTCTGCCACTTACTACGTAAATGACTTTGAGAAGTTAGTCGATCTCTCTGGGTCTTAGTTCCCGTATCTATAAAATGAGATAATAATATACTTATCTCATAGAGGTATTTGGGGAATTAAATGAGTTAATATTTGTAAAGTACATAGAACAGTGCCTGGCACCGAGTAAGTGTTACATTTGTGTTTTTAAGTAAATGAATAAAAATAATCAATATGTTAGTAACCTGCCTGCAAATGTTCACTGACTTCCCATATTCATTTGCTTGGCATTCAGAGTCCTCTGTTATAGGATTTCCTTCAGGAAACTTTCTGGACACCTTCTTTCAAAGCACTTTTGATCTACCCTGCCTCTGGTCATTCCACGTACCTTGATTTGCATTGCTATTTACATTTCCATGTCTGTGATTCTTTTCTCTCTAATTTCACTGTAATAAGCTATCTATTGGTATTTCTTATAATTTCATGTATTATTTTAAGTATGTTGAGAAAATAAAAATCATAATAAAAGCAGTAGACTGTGTATTAGGTACTGTACTTACTGCTTCATATGCACTATTTCATTAAATTCTCATAACTGCCTTATAAAGTAGGTGTTACTATTTCCAAATTACAGTTGAGGAAACTGTAAGATTAAGTAACTTAGTCAGTGGTACAGCTGGGACTCAAACCCGTGTCTGTTTGACTGTGCTTCATATTCCCTTTCAGGAAGTTGTGCCAGTTGCCACGAGTTTTCTTTGGGTGCTGCATCATTTATTTCGGCAGAAGCATTTCTTAAATACCTATTAAATGTCAGGCTATATGGCAGACCCAGAAATTAAATGAGAGAATCCCTTACTCTAAAGGAGTTTTAGCCTAGTAGAAGGACAGACACAAAAACAGATAAGAACAGCATAGGGTTCTAACTTCTGTTAATAGAGCCTTATGCAAAGTCTGTAGGAGACCTCTTTGGGAAGAGGTGCCAATAGAAAGTGGACACCAAGCGTGTCCTTTAGGAGAGAGAGAAGCCAGCCCTAAGCATCTTGATCATATGATAAATATCATTCAGACTTATAATTTTAGACATAAATTTGTGTTTGCTAAAATAATTTTGAATAGCCAAGGTCAGCTGTGTTAGGAAACATCTGTCCATCTTATAAATTTCAGTGTTGATTCATATACTATCTACTAATATAGATTCAACAAAAATAGCTGGATGTGCTGTCCTTAAAATGAAAAGACAGTGTCTAACATGCCAAAAAAACCAAACAAACAAAAAAAAGCAAAGCAGCCTTAGGCTGCATTGACAGTGATTTGCCCAGGTCTTGGGAGGTAATAGTCCTTCTGTACCCTGTGCTGGTCAGATCATACATTGATTAGTGTCTTCAGTTCACCCATTTTAATGGAAATGTTGACAAAGCAGAGCATCTCTAAAGGAAGGTGGTCTGTTCTTCAGAAGCTCACTCAGGTGTCACCTTGGCTGTGATGCCTTTCCCAACTTCTGTCCCTTTGCCCATGCTGTCACTCTGCTTAGAATGTACCTCTTCCAAGCTCTTTGTCTTCCCAGCCTCCTTGTTCACCTGGCTCATTCTTTAGGATACAGCCTGTTCATTCTCCAGAATACAGCCAAGTGTCCCTTCCTCTGGCACTCATTCTCTAATGTGGATTAAGTGCCTCTTTGATGCCCTCAGAGCACCCTGGCTCTGGTTTGCATTGTGATTCTGTTGTACTAAGCACAAACCTACATTATTTCAGCTAGTCTTCACAACAATCCCGTTAGGTTGATTTTATTGCTATTTTACAATGATTATATTGATGTTATACAGTGATTTCTAATAATTTGCCCAAAGTAGCATAGCCAGCAAATGATTGGAGCTGGCATTTGCATCCAGGTCTGCCTGACTTCAGACACTGAGTTCTGAATGACTGCTGTCCTGGCTGTCTGAGAAGGCCCACAGTTGGCTGGGGAATATGGGTTTGGGGAGGGGAAAGAGAAGATATGAGGAAAGAGCTTGTCTGTTACAGGCACATCTTGAGAGAAATGATTAACAAGATCACAGAATCCATTTCTCTGACAGGAATTTGTTAAGAGTTACAGTTTAATCATCTAGAAGAGTAGATGGTATTAAATCTTTTTTGTAATCATGTACTAGTAATAAAAGCATTACGCTGGGTTTTCTTCCCTGTTGTCAAATAGCATATTACTCTGAGCAATGAAAGCTGTCACCGTTTCTTGGCGCGGGTTGAAAAGATTACCCACATGTCACAGACACCCTCTCTTTTTTGTACAGATTTGGCAGCAGTATTTTGCAGCAAAGGATACAGTCTACGCAGTTATTCCTGTAAGTAGTTTGGAGGGGAAAATGAAAGTGTTATAGCATGAAGGTCAGGTCTCTACCCTTAGCAGGCAGTTGCCTTTACTTTTCCAGTGTTTATTGCCTCTTGAGAACTTACATTTATAGCTCTGAGGGTTTTTATTATGCCCTAAGCACCAAAGATTGGAAGCTCCATATGGTATATTTATGGCTCTTGTTTTCCCTCTTTCTGGTTTAGAAATGTCTCTTCGATTCAAGTCTCTGACAAGGGAACATGGTATAAGTTCATGTTGCTGAGCAATTTCCAAATGTATTTTGCTTCTTTTTGGTGTTTTCCAGCCACACTGTTGGAATTTCAGACAGGGCCTCTAGCATACCTTTTCTTCCCCGTTTGTCCATAAGTGACCTATTACTGAACTGACTTAGAGCCTCCTCCTAGGCTTTTTCTGGCATTTCCCCTTAGCAAGTGGTGTTTTCTTTATTTTTTCCCTTCTTGAAATTGCTATATTGGAAATAGTCACTGGCCACTTCTTGACCATTGAGGTTTGTGACCGGGAAGGGGTACTGCTGGCTTCTTCTGGTTCAGTGTCCTTCCACCGACTTCTGCCATAAGGAAGTATTTGATGTACTGGGTTATCAGCTAGTTCTCTCACTATTCTTCTTCTTTCCTGAAGAGGAAGTTGTTGAAGTTATATCAAGCACACAAATAGATACTGAGTTTACATGTATTAAGTTTAAGATTAAGGAGGTAAACTTAGAGACAGAAAAATAAAGCCAGGTCTTTTGGTTGCTCTGAGAGTATTGCTATCATTTTTTCCCCACCTCTTACACATATATACCCTTGCCCTTCCTGAGTTCAGCAGCCAAAAGGATCTGTACTTTTTGTGATATTTTAGATCTCTAATACTGACTCATTGTTTGAATAGGCCTTCTTGGCTCTCCCTCAGAGAGCCTCAGTGGCACTTGGCAGAGTCTCTTGCAGAGTTTGGAACATTTGAAGTATCCACTCTTCGTGTGTAGTTCTGACAATGAACAGCAAAACATAACATCCCATTTTTCTCTCTGTTGTAAAAGGGATTTGTAAATGACAGAACTTAAGAGACAGTTTTAATTGTGTTTTAGTTCTAGAGTTCAGTCATGGTGAATTTAAATGTAACTGAGGCCTTATGTTTTCTTTTTTTTTTTAAATTTTATTCTTTTCTGACCTACAGGAAGAGAAGTTTGACTTGATCTGGACCCGAGCTCAGTCCTGTCCAACAGTAAGTTTCTAGTGTCCGTATGAGGATTGCTTATCAGTTCTACCAAATAAAGATGTTTTCTATCCAATCTCTTCATACTCGATACTATCTCACATGTTACAGTGCTCTGTTTATTTAACAAAGTTGCTCACATGCTAACTACTGAGAAGTGAGATTTTGGGTTTGTCCCAATAAGTTTGTCCCAATAAGTATCTCTGGCTTTTTAGCTCTCTGACACAGCATAGCCCTTTCTGATATGGATCTCTTTCAGTATAAGTGAATGTGGGAGGCAACGCCTTAGACCTTAATATTTTCACCATCCTTTAAGTTTCTATTTTATTGGCAGTTTCTTTTCAATTTTGTCCATGCTATCCTGACTGTATGTGCCTAAGGAATTATGATATTGTTGCTGGAGTAATGAGCTGCCAGAAGACATTAGGGAAAGGGAATTGATGAAGTGGACCAGCTTACTTGGGTGTCAGTAATAATTTCTAAGATTCTCAAATAGATTTTCCAAACATTACTGAGAGAAAATAAAAACATCTAAGTAAATGGAGAGATATACTATGATCATGGATTGGAGGACTCAGTATTGTTGTCCTTTCTCCCCAAATTGATCTCTAGAGTAAATATAATCCCAATCAAAATTCCAGTAGGCTTTTTTCTTCTTTAAAGAAATTGACAAAGTGATTTTAAAAATCCATCCATTTACTTGGATTTCCAAAGGACCTAGAATAACAAAATGATTTTGAAAAAAAAGAATAAAGTTAGAGGATTTACATTTCATGATTTTAAGACTTATTATAAAGCTACAATAATGAAGACTGTGTGTTATTAGCATACAGATCAATAGAACCAAAGAGAGAATCCAGAAATAGACCAACATGTGTGGTCAGTTATTTTTTAGCAAAGGTGCCAAGATAATTAAATGGGGAAAAGATAGTTTCTTCAACAAATGGTGCAAAATAGTTTGGATATCCTTATGCAAAAAAATGAACCTCTACTCTTACCTTATACCATATCCAAAAATTAACTCAAAACAGGTAATAGATATAAATGTAACTTCTGAAAAAAAGCAGTCTTAGGTTGAATGTTAGTGATCTTGAGTTTGGCAAAGATTTCTTAAGTATATCACCAAAAGCCCAAACTAGGGCCCCTGGGTGGCTCAGTCGGTTAAGCATCCGACTTTGGCTCAGGTTATGATCTCATGGTTCGTGAGTTCGAGCCGCGCATCAGGCTCTGTGGTGACAGCTCAGAGCCTAGAGCCTGTTTCAGATTCTGTATCTCCCTCTCTCTCTCACCCTTCCTTGTTTACATTGTCTCTCTCAGAAATAAATAAAACATTAAAAAATTAAATTAAAAAAAAAGCCCAAACTATAATAAAAAAATCAATCAAATCAGTAAATCAGATTTCGCCAAAATTTTCTACTTATATTGTCATATTTATAGCAGCATTAGTCACAATAGCCCAAATATGGAAGCAATCCAGTTGTCCACTGATGGATGACTAGATAAGCAAAGTGTGGTATATACACCCAATAGAATATTATTTAGCCTTAAAAAGAAAGGAAATTATGACACATATTACAACATAGATGAACCTTGAAGACATTATACTCAGTGAAAGAAGCCAGTTACAAAAGGACAAATCCTATATGATTCCACTTAGATCTAGAATAGGTATAGGTACCCAGGATAGTCAAATTTGTGGACAGAAAGTAGAATGATGGTTGCCAAGGGATGAGGAAAAAGGGGATGAGGAGTTCCCATTTAACAGGTACGGGGTTTTAGTCTGGAAAGATTAAAAAAGTGGAGATGGATGATGGTGATGGTCACACGACAATGTGAATATACTTAATGCCACTAAATTGTACATTTAGGAAGAGTTAAAACGATAACTTTTATGTTGCATATACCTTACCGCAATAAATAAAAAGTGAAATTCTCTACTTTTCAAAAGATGTTGTTGTGAAGTTTGAAAAGACAAGCCACAGACTGGGAAAAAATATTTGCAAGACATGTTGACAAGTGACTTGTACCTAGGAATATATTAAAAACTCATACAACTTAGAATGGGCTAAACGGGTAAGGGGCATTAAGGAATTTACTCTAAAATCATTGTTGCTCTATATGCTAACTAACTTGAATATAAATTTAAAAAAATAAATAAAAATTTAAAAAAAAATTAATACAACTTAAGAAGTCAGGCAACCCAATTTAAAAATGGGCAAAAGATTCAAACAATTCACCAGTGAAGTGGAATGACAGATAAGCACCTGAAAATGTGCTCAATATTTTTATTCATAATGGGAATTGCAAATTAAAACCACAGTGAGATACCACTAAAATGACCAGAATTAAAAAGACTGATGATACCAAGTGTTGGTAAGGATGTAGAATAACTGAAACTCTCATATACTACTGATATAACCGTGTAAAATGGTAAAAGTGCTTTAAAAACAAACTGACAATTTCTTTAAAAGTTAAACATATGCCTGACATACAACCCAGTTATTCTACTCACTAGAATTTTCCCGAGAATTGAAAGCGTATGTTCATAGCAGCTTTATTTGTAATAACCAAATATTAAGATACCCAAATGTATCACAGGTACATAAAGAAATTGGCAGTGGGGGTTCTGTGTGTACATATACATATACAGTAGAATACTATTCAGCAATAAGAAAAAATGAACTATTGAGGCACTTGAGTGGCTCAGTCGGTTAAGTGTCCAACTTCAGCTCAGGTCATTATCTCATAGTTCATGGGTTCAAGCCCTGTGTCAGGCTGTGTGCTAAGAGCTCAGAGCCTGGAACTTGCTTCAGATTTTGTGTGTGTGTCTCTCTCTCTGCCCCTCTTCCACTCACACTCTGTTTCTTTCAAAAATAAATAAACATTTAAGAAAAAGGGAATGAACTATTGATACATGCAGCAACATGGATAGATCACAAAACAATTATGTCGAATGAAAGAAATCATGTAAAAAGAAGTATAGATTCTTTGGTTCCATTTATATAAAATTCTAGAAAATGCACCCTGACCAGAAGTGTCAGAAATCAAATTGGTTGCCTGTTAGATAGGCACTGAGTTTATGTCATCTAATAAAAATAAAATAGAGCCTGAGTGGCCATAAGGAGACAGTTCCATGACTAACATGCATTGCACTCATTTTGCTTTGTTTGTTCTGCCACCATTCTCGTCACCACTCATCCCCAATTCTAAACATAAAACTAATCATTTCTTTGTGTTTAGAACCATGCTCCAGTATCAGCCTCAGATGATAGAATAGGAAGCAATTATAATAATTGGAACAAAAGTTAATTCAGCATTAGAAAGTTTACAAATTGAAAAACTCATGCTATCAATAGAAGAACAGATAAATTGCAGTAATCTTCTATAGTAGAATTCCATACAACAGTGAAAATTAATGAATTAGAGTTATATTTATCAACACAGACAAATCTCAAGTATAATGTAAAGTATAAAAAGAAAGTTGCAAAGTGTACATATAGTTTGGTAAGATTTAAATTTTTAAAAATGCAACAGGATTTTAAACATGTTATATTTCTTGTTTATGGATATGTGCATGCACTTTAAAGTATAAAACCTCAAAGAGAATGACAGACACCAAATGCAGGATAAATGTTACTCTGGAATGGGATTAGAATGGGTGACAGAGAAATCTTCAATTGGATCTCTAACGTTTTCTTTTTTAGGTGGGTTGGGAAGTATATGAGTACTTGTTAAATTATCACAAAATTATGAATTTCATAATTTAAAAAAATGTTTAAAGACCAAACAGTGAAGAAATGGAGCAAATGATATAGGCGGTTGGACGTAGAACAAATGATTTTATTTATTCATCTGTTTCCTTGTGTCTTTGTTTCCCATAGTTTCTATGTGCACTACCAAGAAGGGAAGGTTATGAGTTCTTTGTAGGACAATGGACAGGTACTGAACTCCACTTCACTGCACTTATAAATATTCAGGTACGTGGCCTGTGCTCAACCCCTGAGGAAAGAGTCTTCCTTTGTGGGACTATGAGCCCTTGCTGAGGCTTGAGGACACAGAGTATCTACTAAGTCCCAGCAGTATTTGCTTTGGCCTTGATGAATTGTCATACTTTGTATATTAGGCTAGCTTTCTAGGCCCTAGTCAATACCTAGAAATTGGAAAAGACCCCAAAACATATTTTCTGACTGCATCTGGTCTATTGTATCTCTTCCCCAGACCTCTATACCATTTACTGGTTGTGCCTCACTTAACAGACATGGGTGAACTATGATGGTTATCTTTTTAACCCTAAGGTAGGTTCCATGTCTTATTTGTGTTTTATTAACCAAGTCAGCACTTTCCAAGATGCTAGATGCATAGTTTCCATTCCATAGGTGTTGTTTTGTTTGCTTCCTTCCTTCCTTTCTCTTTCTTTTATTCCCAAGTATAGAATTAAGAAATTCAATCTAAAACATTTGAAACTTTTAAAAAAGAAGTCAGTAGTTTAAATCAGATCATAACTAGGATTGATATTCTGTATTTGGAGGCCAAATATGGCCCAAAAACCCACAAGCTTGTGTTATAATGGCTTTGAACGTTAGGAAAAGGAAGTACAAAATAGAATGAGAGTTTGTTCACTACTGTATCCCATGTGATTGTATCCTAAAATTGTATCATGTTTGTTTAAAAAAAATAAAAAGGCAGGGTCGGGGAGAGAAAAAGCAGAATGAAGGAGCAGCTTTTACTTTGTGGATGAATTATAAAATAACATTTATTCAGCACATACTATTATAACCAACACTTGATGCACTTTCTATATCAAGTGTTTTATATATATTATATCTTTTTTTTTTTAAAGTATGTCTTTTAATCCTCACAAATGTCCCATGAGATAGTTACTGTCATTATTTCTCTTTAGAGAGAAGAGCTCAGAGAAGTTAGGAGGTGAGCTAGTATGGATGGATGTGGTAATAGGTGAAAGCAGGGCTGGATTTGATCAACTCCAAAGTCTATGAATGGAACCATTATGCTGCTGTGTTAGAGACGATGCTAGGACTTGGAGACCTGTGAAACATGGTCCCTGCCCTCCTGCCAACTCTTAGACAAGTATAGTAAAAAGATCCAGAAACATAATTATGATCAAAATGATCAATATATTTGAAGTATATGGGGGAAAACTGAGAAGCTGAACCCTAGCAATAGTTGGGTATTGATAGAAAGACTCTTGCTGAAATTTAGAGATGAAACCCAGAGATCTTTTTTAAATGTATAGTTGTTTCCTCCTGCACTATAAGAGGGCTTTAACTCTGAACCTAGCCTCTCTTCCTAGTCTGGACTGAGGTCTGATAACCACTGCCCTGTCCACTCTTCATGAAATTATGTTCCCATTCTTCTTTTCCCCCCTATCTCCCACTCAGATTATATTTTAAAACTGCACATTACAAATCTGGCCCATGTGCAAAGTCTCCAGCTGTTTGCTACAGCTTAAAAGAGCTCAGTCTTCAGAGCCAGCCAAGGGGAGTAGATTTCAACTGTGAAATGCACTAGTCCATAAAAGTGGCAATTACACAGGCATATTGCTTTCTTTAGAACTTGATTTGGTAGCTGCTTGTTCCGTTTTGTTTTTAAATATATGGCCATGATGAAGGATTCACTGCCTACTGTAAACATTTTCTGGGAAAAAAGCCAAACCTTTTTCAATTGAAGACACAAATAACACTGCAAACTGTCAGTTTCACAGTGCCTTGGCAAGCCTGACCATCCCCCCACCTACCAGTCCTCTGACTCACTGGCCACCCAAGGGGCTGTTAAGAGCCCAAATTTCCTCCAGACTCTCTATTGCTCTGAAATTGCAGTTTTGTGTTGTGGTACCTTATTGAGCCTTGATAAGTGTTTCTCCTTACAGACCCGAGGGGATGCTGCAGCCAGCCAGTTGGTTTTATATCACTACCCTGAACTTAAGGAAGAAAAGGGCATAGTGCTGATGACAGCAGAAATGGATACCACCTTTTTGGTAAGAATTAACTTTTACCTCTTTGGAATTACCTGGTGGCCCTGAAGGTATATTCTTCTGCCAAAGATCATGAGAGGTCAAATTCCAGAGACCTACATGTACTTGTTTCTTACTTAAAGTTGGTCATAATGTTGTCTTGCACGAGCTCTTCCAAGTTGAAGTTAGTACAATCACTAACTCAGTCACTTATTCACAATTTTGAAGCCCATAACCTCTGAAAACAAAGTTTTCTCATAATTCATTTGGTTACAAAACCGTACCTGACTTGAACTCACTTGGTAGCTAAATCTTCATTTAAACTGATGTAAGGCTACAGTCCTTATTAATCCCACTTGATGTGGAATAGTTGTACATTTTACTAAGGAACTATTAATGTGTTTGATTATGGGGAGTTGCCTAATGTACCTCTTGGCTTTATAGAATATAATAATTCTGACTCCAAAACACATCTGGCCCTGGGGGTTTCAAGTAAGAGAGTGTGGACAAGCAAATGGCTTCTTTTTTTTTTTTTTTTTTAATATTTTTTTATTTATTTCTAGGAGAGAGAGAGAGAGAGAGAGCGTGAGCAGGGGAGGGTCAGAGAGAGAGGGAGACACAGACTGAAACAGGCTCCAGGCTCCGAGCTGGCAGTCAGCACAGAGCCCGACGCGGGGCTCGAACCCACGAACCGTGAGATCATGACCTAAGTGAAAGTCAGACGCTTAACCGACTAAGCCACCCAGGCGCCCCGCAAATGGCTTCTTAAGTATAAGAAGAGTTCGAAGTCTAGAATAGTTCTCAATCTCTTATCTTCCTGCACACTGTTCACGTGTACTACCTTCATCATACATAGTGATTTCCTTCCTCCTTCTCCCTCGAGCACCAACCGTATGTCTACAGGTAATGATGTCCATTGTGTTTGTTCTCTCTGTATATCCAGGGCCAGGAGCAGTTTTATGGTTCTTGTACAACCAGTTTGTCTAGTCTTTGCTCATTTCTTTCTCATTTCTTTTTTTTTTTTT